GAGCGAGCTGAGAGGAGCCCTTCCGAGTCCTCTCCTGGTTCTGTGCAGACAGTCGAAGCTGCCAGGGCAGGTTTTATTCTGGAGCAGCTCTGCAGAGCAGGTTTCCAGGGGGAGCGGATCCTTTCAGCATGGACAAGTGTGGATTCTTGCCCTCAGGCTTCTCCCTGGAGCTGGGGCTTGGGTTTAAAGTTTCCACATATTTTTTTGATCAGGGAGCCTGCATTTTCATTTTGGCCCTGGCTCTCAAACGTGGCCAGCTCTGCGATCAGGCTTACCACCAGGTGAAGGAGCTCGTGCATCCCAAGGACCTTGCTGAAGTACAGACTCTGGGTCGGCCTGTATGTCCAATGTGCTCACCTGCTGTGGACGTGGTCCATCCCCAGACTCTTCGAGGGGAGTGGGGCTTTGACCAGGTCCAGGGGCCTCACCTCAGCTAAGAAGCTTTTAACCTGGGTTCAATGTTGCAAGTTTGGGCAGCTCCAACAGACTCAGAGGGAGCCTACCTGTCAGCATGTTGCATCATCTCGCCAGGTGATTCCAATTTGCAGCCCACACCTTGAGGGCAGCACTCCCAAATTTAATGGCCACATGAATCAGCTGGGGACCTTGTCAAACACGCAGGGCCCGATTCAGGAGGCCTGGGCGGAGCTCCTGGAAACTCCGTTTCTGATTCTCATACCACGGTCATGCAGCCATCCACAGAGCACATTTGGAATAGCAAACTCAGCCAATTACCCTTTCCCGGTACAAGGAAAAAGATCTCAAAGTTATACATCTCACCAGGTACACCTGGGCAGGTTGCACACCGCACAAGGCTGCCACAGGGAAGCGAGGAAGGCCTTGCACGTCATAGGTGTGTCTATTTATCATGACAACTTTCCAGCAGGTGGCAGTGGAGTGTTTTAAGGAAGGGACCCAAGTGGCCAAGAGGCTTCCTAAGTGTGGCTCCCAAAGGACTGGTGACATCAAGACTCCCCAGATCTGCATACAGCGGAACAGCAGCATCCGTATTGTCCTTAACACATTCTTTCTGGTGCTACTTTTTAAATTGAGGTGCAATATTTGCAAAAAAAACCCCAAACCCATTAAACAGTCAGTCCCCAAGCTTCTCCCCATTCTAGCCCCCAACAACCGATCTGCTGTCTGCCTCTATAGATTTCTTTTCTGGACATTTCACATAAACAGAATGATACAAGATGTGGTCGTTGGTGCCCAGCTTACTCAGCATCGTGTTTTAAGACTCATTTGGGCTGTGGTTCTGGGGACTGAAGCCAGAGTCTTCTCACTAAGCTACACCCCCAGCCCTTTAAAAACATTTTTTTTTTTTGAGTCAAGGTGTTACTAAATTGTCCAGGCTAGGCTTGAACTGGTGATCCTCCTGCCTCAGCCACCCAGAGTCTGGGATTACAGGTGTCCACCCCTACCCTGTTCCAGCTTCTTTGTTCCTTTTTACGAGTGATAGTCCATGGCCTGTGTTTTCCACAGGTATTTGCTCATCCATTGGTTGATGGGCGTTTGCGTTGGGAATGTGGAAGGCATCCTGTAAATCCCACGAATCTCCAGCTCCGCACATGTGCTTACATCCGGGTAACTGCAGGGCAAGATGGGAGCCTCTCATCGCTTTCCTATGCAAGGATGACCCCCTGCCGAGACCCCGCCACTGCCATCTCTGCAGTCACAGATGACGTACTGGGCTGTGACACTGGGTTACAGGGAAAAGCCTCCTGCATCTGCCTACTTTGGTAACAGAAGGCCTATCCAGTGAATCCGGGTCGTGACCTTCACGGAGACCCAGCGTCTCCCTCCCCACCAGTCCAGGGGGTCCCATTAGTATCTGGCTCCTGAGCCCCAGGAAGGGCAGAAGAGTTAGGCCTGCCGTGCCAGGCACATGGTGAATGCCACGAGGCATGGTCAGAATAGATGGTGAATAAATTTAAAAAATATCACAGTAAAAGTCACATTGCCCCGAATCCTTATCAGAACATTCCTTTTTTTTGGTACCAGGTATCGAACTCGGGACCTTGAGCTTGTGAGGCAGGCAGTGGAACCACTGAGCTGAATCCCCAGCCCCAGAACGTTCCTTTTGCTTTGAACACATGCTTCCCATCATTCTTACCACCTTCTGAAGCTCTTCTGGAGTCCCCTTTCCCCAGTGTCTTCAGTTGCACCCTCACGGCTGCCTTAGTGTGTCTGATTTGATTCAAGACGTTGACCTTTCATGGTCATTTTGACTTTGGGGGGGACCAGATGTGACACGGTGCCAAAACCGGTGAATAAGTGGATGAGGACACAGCATTGTGTTTTTACGAGGCGGCCTGTTTGTTGGATGGTAATGACCACAGCCTTCACCATATTTCTGATCACATCTTCTAAAGACACTCATGAAGGAGGACTTGCAGAGCTGCTTCAGAAAGGGGCAAGAATGATGGGATAAGAGTGTTTGAAGCAAAATTGGGTATTTTGAGGGGAACTAATGGAAATGCCTTTTATTGTAGCACATTTAAAAATTTTAAACATTCACTGTATATGTTGAGCAGTGTATGTGAGCACTTTATTTAAAAATGAGCAAAATGCACCTTCTGTTTTCATCATCATTCATACTCCTAAGGAGGAGCCCCAGGCTCCCGAAGGTGGCCGATTAGTGACACAGGCTTGTCTCCCCTCCACCTGCCCCCCAATCTGGAGTGTGTTGAATGGTGGCCCCCGGAAGGCACATGGTGCTGGCACCTGTGAATGTGACCTTGGGAGAGTGGGCCTTGCAGATGTGCTGAGGATCTCATCCTGGCATCCGGTGACCTGAATACTGATAGAGGAGGGAAGGACACAGATCCTGGCAAAGAGGCTGCAGGGGGTCAGAAGCGGGACTGAGCCATCACCAGCCGAGGGATGGCGGGAGCCACCGGATGCAGGAAGAGGCAGGTGGGAGCTTCTGAAGAGTCTGCAGGGAGGACGCAGGCTGCACACCATGAGCCAGGCCCTCTCCATTGCTGAGAGCCACGTGTGGGTGTCTGCTGGGGCAGCTGCAGGAGGCACTCGGAACCCAGCACTTGGTGACAAAGTGTCCACAGCTGGGTGGCTTGAAATAACTGAACTTTGTCATCCACGGGCTAAAAACCCAATCAAAGCTCAGTTCCTCCTGAGAGCAGAGCAAGGATCCACCCTGTGCCTCTCCCAGGGCCCAGCAGTCTGCTGCCTTGGAGGGCTTGTGGTGTTGTCAGTGTGGTGTCCACCTTCATCCTTTCACTGCCCTCTCCGTCGTGGCTCTGTACCCCAAGGTCCCCCTTTGATAAGGACCCTGGGGACCTCCTTTTAACTTGATTTTCTCTGGAAAGACCTGGATCCAGGAAGGTCACATTCCAACGAGCTGGGAGTTCAGATGTCATAGTTGGGGACCCAGTTCAGCCCCAACAGGGACATCCCCAAGCCCACCGACTGCTCTCCTCACAGTTCCGGGAAAGGTCCGTGTGGATCCGGTCTGGCCCACTTCCCTTCCTTGCTGGCCTTGGCAAGTGTCCCCAGCTGCACCTTCTGCAGGCCACGTCCTCCAGGAGGCCACCGGCTCCCATCAGCCTAAGCTCCTGTGCCTGCCATAGTGCCTGGAGGTGGCAGGTGCTGTGTGCCTGACTCCTCCATGGCCCGTGGGCACTGGGTCCCCACGCACAGGGGCACATTCCTCGCTGAGCCCTGTCTGCAGGTGACTGACACCCAAGAAGCTGCGCCTGTTTAATGTACACAGCTGTCTGGGGCTAGGTCTGCACCACAACACTGTACCCCCCAACACCATGCACATACGTCTGTCACCTCCAAATGGCATCTCCCATCCCAGTTACTAGATTGGGTGGCAGGGGCCTGAGTTGGCACAAGTGGAAGTGTCTGTCTTGCACATAGGTGTGCACACACCTAACTACCTCCCTGTGACTGGGCCACTCGATTCTCCCTCCTGAGTGAGGCTTGCTCTGCCCCCTGCAGATGAGGGGGTTCCCCTCCCCCCATGTGCTGGCATCTGGCTGACGGGCACCTTGTGACAGGGCAGGGCCGAGGCTGCCCAGGAGAGCAGGGGTGGGTGGAGCAAGTGGCATCTGGGGGGTGAGGTCTGCGGGTCTTGGGAGGGAAAGCCTCAGCCTTGGGCCTAGCTTAGGGACACAGGCAGTCACCTGGACAGGTGGAAGGGGGGACGGACCTGGGGCGGGGTGGCAGGACACACGGAGGCTGAGACACCCTGAGATGGAAGACCCGGAAGGACATGGATTCGGGGCGTGGTAGGAATAAAAGGCCTCTTCTTAGAGGAGGCTCAGCCGGGCTCTGGGACTCAGAGAGGCGGCCACAAGCCAGTAGCAGCCGCCAGTCTGGGAGCTCGACACAAGCAAGAGTCCAGGAGCCGTAAGAAGTCACTTTGAGTCACTGGTAGGAAATGGACGCATCTTAAGCCCATAATGCTAAGTGAAACAAATCAGACCCAGGTTTCTCTTAAATGTGGGTATAAATAATTTAAGGAGCAAATAAAAGATGAAAGGAAACAGGGAGACTGTGGGATGGGGAGGGGAGTGGGTCTGGGGCAGCCAGCTGGGGCAGGAGAGGTAAAAACGATTAAGATGCAGTGTGTGCACAGAGCAGTTCCCAGGAAGGATCTGTGATCATTATGACACAACATACACCAGTAAACAAAGGGAAATGCAGAGGCCTGGGCCTCTCCCGGCCTGCGGGGCCAGAAGCTGTACTGTCACCAAGCCCCAGGTGGCCTGGGTGTGCGGGGCGGGGTCTACACAAGGCTCCCACTGGGAAGGGGCCGTGTCCCCTGCAAGGTCCGGAGACCTTCTCGGTGGCCACAACAGGGGAGGTGCGTGTGGCAGCCCAGGCGAGGGACACCATTGGGCAGTGGGCCCGACAGTCCCTGGCACACTTCCGGCCGCCACGGTCGGCATCGGGCGAGAAGCTTGGGTCTTCGGGACACAGGAGAGGCGGCCTGCCCCTCCCCACCCAGCCACACAGAAAGGCAGGCGTCAATGAGTCACTTACAGTTTATTTTTGCCTGAAAGTATTTCACATCTCTTTGTACACAGCTACGTGACAGTAGTATTAACCATCAGGAAAAGCAACAGTGCGAGGGGAAAGGTGGCATGTCTTGTTTCTTCTTTTTTTTTTTTTTCTTTTTGAATTTTTTAATGTTTTTTTTTTGTTAGTTTTTTGTTTTTTGTTTTTGCTTCTGCTTCTTCCTGCACCAGAGTGCTATGGAGTACGGAACCGGGGACAGGGGCAAGGAACTAAAACCAAACAACAGAAAACAACAGAAAACAGGACACGGAACACACTCGCACACACACACACACACACACACACACAAAATAAAACCTGGCACAGAAAATGAATTAAGACTGAAACCCAATTTCTCTTTTTTTTTTTTCCTTTTTTAAAAAAATGAGGGCATCCTGTGGTGGGGGGGTAATAAAGTCTACCTAGCAAAGTATAAAACGACGAAAGCATGGTTTCCATTGGATAAGATTAAATATATATAAAACAATTACACTGACTGTAGTTTAGGTTTGGAGGTGCCAGAGGGGGGGGATGTATTTGTGCTAAACCAACAGAAAGAGGGGTTGCGGGACCGGGGATCCCAAATAAGCCGCCGCGGGGCTGTTCTGTACAGTGAGGGCTTGTTAAGAAAAAGCTGCTTATAAAAGAAATGGAGGTCGGTTTGTCTGGGGGCAATGTGACGACACAGGGCGTCTTCGCTGCAGGGAGCACATTGATGGGGTGTCGAATCTCTCTTCTCCCAAGAGACCATGCAAAGAGGTGGGCATGCGTGAGGGGACACGGGACGGGGACGCGGTGGGGAGCCTCAGGTCCTAAGTCTCAGCGGGGGGCGGGGACAGCAAAGGCCCAGGAGATGGAGGCCGTGTGGGGGGGGGCGGTTCTTCTACCAGGGAAGGACTGGGAGGGACAGTTCTCGCCCCTTCCAAATCCAGAAAAGGGGCCAAGGGGCAGAGCTTGGGCCTTAGAGGAGCAAGACGATGTGGGGTCGCCTTTCTTCCTCCTCCCCCAGCCCGACCCCCACCCGGGAGGACGCTGAGACACCTGGAAATCAGAAATATACAGGTGGGCAGACGGACGGACGGATGGGCGAGCATTAGCCTATGGAATCCATTACGAAACAGCAAGTTAATTTTCCAAGGAGGGTTTTTTTTTTCTCTTTCTCTTTTTTTGACTGTTTCCTTTAAAAAAATAACAATAAAACTACCACTAACCCAACAGCTGACTGGTTCGTACAGTACTACACGCCAGGGGGGTGCGGGGGACGGGAAGGGAGGGTCAGACTTCATAAATAAGAGCAGGTCCCAGACCCACAATTTGTCAACATTTCTTAAATAGGTGCATTATTTAAATCTTATGTACAATGAGAACCACTTTGCATAGCAATGGTGAGGACACAGGACAGCGGTGACTGACTGGGTCTTCGGTCCCAGTGGCTGCGGCGGCGGGCGAGATCTGAGCTCTACTCGCTGCCGGCGGGCACCTCGCCTCCGGAAAGGGTGCATCCTTGTCCGGCCAGCGCGATGGTGGCGTCCCAGTCGCCTTTCCGCGTGACGTTAAACACAAAGGCAAAGAAAATCCACGAAGGGTCCCCACCCGCGCCTCCCCCGCCCCTCCTGACCGACCGGCTGAGGCTCCCCTTGCTCCTCTGGTTGCCAAAGTCCGATTTAGGCCAGGCCAAAGGTTCCGATTGTGAAGCTAAAAGAATCAGGCGGGGGCTGGGCGTGCTCGCAGCCCCCCTCCCCCCTCCACCCCCAGAGACTCCCCCATCTATCCCACAGCCAGGCGCCGGGGCACCCGCACGGCTGCTACAGCTATTCGTCAAGTCGCTTTATCGCGGCTGCAATGTCATCCTGCCACACGCTGGGGGCTTCACCAGGCTTCTGTGTAGCGGACGTCCACCTCCTTCAGGTTAGGAAGCTTGGCCTGTGGGCGGCAAGAGGGGTCCTGGTCACCCATGGGGCACTTCTGTGACCTGGAAGGCCCAGCCCCACCCACATGGGTAGCTGGGGTTGCCCCTGGCAGCCCCAGTCGTTGGTGACCTTAGGCAGAGCAGAGAGCAGCTGGGAGGGCCCTATCCCCAGAGAAATCAGGCAGCGGGGGACAAATGTCCCTGTTGGTGACAGGCTTGGGTCTGGCTTTGCGGACACACAGGCTGGACTTGAACTTGGCTCTGCCACTGACCGGCTGTGACCCTGGGCACAACGCTGGCCTCTCCAGCCTCAGTCTCCTCATGCATGGAATGAAACTGAGTCACGTTTCTGGCTCAAAGGACACGCTAGGGGCTAAACACACACTTGCCATGCACCATTTTCACACACACCTGTGCGCATGCCCACCCCATCCACACATGCACACATGTGCATGCAGCTCCTGGGTTCAGTGACCCCCCCCACAGTGACAAGCCGGGGCTGCACGGAGGCCTGCCCCTGGGAAGTGAACGCAGGCCTTTCCCGAGTAGGAGGCTGCAGAGAAGGATCTAGACCTCCAGCTTCTCTTGAAAAACAGGAAGACAGGGCCAGACAGGGCAGGTAGCCTGTGGCTCTGCCTGCTGGCACTTCGCAGCGCCTCGCTCCCGTGCCAGGGCAGAGGGTGTGCTCTACGCAGGGGTCATGGCAGCCATACCGAGGTGTCCCCATCCCCAGCTGGGCCTGGCACGAGGCAGCTGTGCGGCAAGCATGAGGAGGTGACTGGCGAGCAGCCCTGGCTGCAGGAGGCCCTGGGGCAGGTGGGCCTGGCCTAGCCCTTTCTTTGCGGGCCTCTGACTGCAGCTTCACTTGCGCCTTCTGAGCCGCTGCTAAGGCCCGAGGATGAGGATGAGGATGAGGATGAGGATGAGGATGAGGATGGGTGGCAGGCAGCCACAGGCAGCCCCGCCCTCCCACCACCCAGGTCCTCTCCCTGTTTTATCAGACTGCCTCGTCCCGTCCCGTTGCCAGCCCAGACCTTGGCTGTGTGACCCACCGGCCCCATAAATGCCCTCCCTGCTTCCACTTTGGCTCCCACTCAAAAGTCTCTTGCAAAACATAGCCTGCCACCCTGCCAAGGCCGCTGGGGGCTTCTCCTGGCCTTGGATGCAATCCCAAGTCCTTCTGTGTCCTACTGGGGCTTCTTTGCTTCCATTCCCTAATCTTTCAAAGTCACTTCCAGCTGCATCTGCTACACAGTCAGTTCCTGCCCATCTCCTGCCTCAGGGCCTTTGCACTTGCTCTTCCTCTCATCCTGGGTTTCCTCTCCCACCATCTCAGGTTGCCTTCTTCAAAGCGAGCATCATGCCCAGTCACCTCATGCCCTGTGCCCTCCCCAGTTCCAGGCTCCTTGCTCCGTGCTGCCATGCTCATCAGTCTGTTCCCCGTTTGGCCCCTGATCTGCTGGTATAAGAGCCTCTTTCTGGGACGGGCAGCTAGATGGCATCTAGAGGCGCAGGATGGCCGTGGGGAGGGAGGGAGGGGGTAGGGAGTTACCTTCAGATCTTCGTAGGTGTCGGCCGAGAGCTTGGTGCTGTTCATGTTTAAACTGCAGAGACTCTTCATGGCTGCGTGAGGACAGACGGACAGACAGACAGTGAGATGGCACGAGGGCCTGCTGTAGGTGTGGGACAGCCTGGTGGGGACTGGCTGGTGAGGCCACCGTGAAGCAGGCGGGGGGACTTCGAGGTCACCCGTGTGGCCAGAAGACGAAGTCCTGCAGGCTGTCCTGGCGGGAGCCGGGCTCTCCCTGCCCTCTGCTCTCCCTGGCAGCCCCTCTGTCCAGTCCCTCACTGCCAGCACCAGCTGTCCCCGGAGCTCACAGATACCCCCAGGCTGCCCACCAGGCCGGGCCTGCCCCCCATGGGAACCCCGATGTCCTCCCGTGGGTGCTGACTCAGGTCCGGCTCCTGGAAAGCTAACCTCAGGCTTGGGTTTGTGCCGGAGTCACATGGGACCTCGGTAGAGCCGCAGCCCCACCACCGCCCAGAGATACTGAGGCTGGGGTGGGGACCCCAGGAGCACAGCTGCAGAGAACTGGCTGGACCTCGTCCCCCTGCCGCCTACCCCACCTGGAGCCACCAATGACCTTGTAGGGTCACACCACTAGCGAGCGGAGTGTTGTCTCCACACGCAGACCCCTGCCACTTCCCAGGAAGCCTCTGACCCCAGAGCTGAGCCACAGGGCCTCAGTCTAAAGCAGCAGGTCCAGAAATGGAAAACTGGTCAAGTGCCGAGTCCAGGCTCTGTGAGGCAGGGTACCACCCCCACCCGCACCCCACATGCCTGGCACTCGGCACAGCCTGTGCATAGCGAGGGTGGCGAGGCCAAGCCTGCTGAGGGGAGGAGCACTCACAGCTGAGGGCCAGGAGCCCGGCATCGGTGACGGGGGTCTCGCACAGGTTCAGCACCTGGAGCATGGTGAGGTGTTCTGACAGGAGCCGCAGGCCGGCGTCTCCAAACTGCAGGGTACAGGGACTCTCAGGCCTTGCCAGGACCCCTGGGGACGTGACCCCCAGGGCCAGGCAGAGATGGAGGGAGGTGGGGCTCTGGTGTGGCTCCCCTCCTTCCTGCCCAGAATCAACTGTCTCCCAGTCTAGGCTTGGAGGGAGCCAGGAGGCCCCTTCTGGGGGTCAGTTTGGCCGTCTGTCAGGGAGGCTTTGAGCCTAGTGATGCCCAAGTGATCAGAAGGCTGGGCGTGGGCAGCGGGCAAGGAGGAGGTGGGCGCCGCACCTGCGTGGACCACAGGTTGAGCTGCTTGAGAGAAGGCAGTTTGATGAGGTGTTCCGCGCAGGCACTGGTGACATTAGTGAAGGCCAAGCTGAGGTTCTCCAGGTTTCCGAAGGAGCCCGAGCTCAGCAAGCGAGCCAGGTCAGCGTCCTGGGACATGGGGGAGTGGGGCTTAGGGCAGCCTGGGCCACCAGACTGCCACGACCCGGGGCTGCCCCTTCCCTAGACCCTGGGCCTTCTCTGCCCGGTACAGGCTGTTCCTGGGCGTCCTGCAGGTGACACTGCGGTCGGACATGTAGGGCTGGGAGAGGGCTTCGCTGGGGATTTGCACTCAGTCACCACGGAGTCTGGGGCACCCAGTGGGAATGGTGATTCCAGGAAGGTTCTTAAAGGGCATGTTCTCCCCTGCCTCTTTCTCCTTCCCGAGGGCTGGGATGGAGATACAGGCTGGAGCTGGGGCAGACTTCTCGGTCCATGGGGGGAGCCATGCATCAGGGGTAGTGGGGCAGCAGGGGAGAAGGAAGTAAGACCCCAAAGACCAGAAAAGGGGAATGGAGGACAGGCGACGCTCACAGGGCTGTCGTGAAGATAACATGAACCGGTGGTGCAGCATCTGGCATACTGATGCCTAATGCGTGTCAGTCACTACGGTCACTACCACTAACCGTGACTGGTAGTGTATTGCTGGGAGCGCCACCAGTAATACACGTATTTATTTACTTATTCTGTGGTGCTGGGGACCGAGTCCAGGGCCTCCTGCCTGCTAAGCAGGTGTTCTGCCATGGGGCCACACAGCGTCACCAGCTGCCATCGTAGCATTTTGACTTTGTTAGGGTTCCGCTTTTCTTCCTGGAGGAGCTGGCCGGTCACTGGCTGAGAGGCCCCATCACCCCGCCTCCCCCACAGAGCCCCGTGCACTCACTGTGGACTTCGATGGCAGTGTGAGCCTGGTGGGCCCGCCTTTCCTTTGCTGCAACGGAACACCGATGGGTCAGCCGTGAGCTGCCGGCCCAGCCCGAGGCCCCTGCACACTCCCTCCTGAGGCCCTGGGGCACTTGGTGGCAGAGGGAGGCGTGGTGACCACCTGAGCTCTTGGGCTTTGGACCCCAAGAAACACAGAGGGACGAGGTGGTCGCGCCGAGGGAAACGGGGCCCCACCTGTGCAGCTTCACCAGCGCCAGACCCTGCCGGGCGCTGCTGTCTCCAGGCACCCGGCCGGGCTGGGGCTGGGCACGGCATACCCTGTCCCTCTGTCCTGCTGGGCAGGTACAGCGCGGACAGAGTTGGCCTTGCCAACAGGGCGCAGACCTGGCATCTGGAGTGGCAGGAGGTTGGCACGGACTGTCCAGTCCCCACCAGGCCCCACATGAGCTGGGACTCTTGCTTTACCACCCGGAAAGGGGCTGGGGACGGCCCCACCTCCTGGGGGTGGAGGCGGGCCAGGGACGGGGCCTTCGGCTGGGACGCACCAGCTCCTTCAGCTCCCGCTGTCGGTCGCACAGCTGCTCATACATGCGCCTGCCCACGTCTGTGCTCTCCAGCGTGGAGATGATCTGCAGCTGCGTGTCATTGTTGTCGATGATGTTGTACTCCAGCATCAAGCACAGGATCTGCGGGATGGGGAAGGTGACGGGTGGCCTTCGAGGGCCTCCGGGAAGGCTCCGGGGAGCAGCTCTCCACCCGCCCTGCCTGAGGTCCCCACCTCGGCTGGTTACAGGGCCTGCCCTCGCCATTGCAGGGACAGGCACTGGGAAGCACCAAGAACAAGACCCCTCTGCCTCCCTCTGCTATGAGACCCCTGCCCGAGCCGGGCTCAGAGCACAGGGCGGGAGCAGCTCTCGGGGCCAGGGTGCAGCAGGACATTCTTCCGGGGGCACCGTGTGTCTGCCAGTGCGGCCCTCCTGCCCCCCACAGCACCTCTCCCTGCTCGGCCCAGCCAGTCACAGGAAGACAAGGACGAATCCAACTCCTCCCCAGTACCTCTGGCTCCGGCCATGCCCTATACCTGCCCCTCTTGGCTCACATGCCCCAGCCATCCTGTTTTCCAACAAGCCTCTTCCTGCCACAGGGCCTTGGCATGTGCTGCCCCCACAGCCTAGAATGCACCGTCTCCGGCTTGCTGCTAACGTCTCCTTGGACCTCAGAGCTCATTGTAACTCCCATTGGCATGGGAAGCTCGTAGTTTTATTTTTATTTTATTATTTTGAGACAGGGTCTCACTACATAGTCCAGGATGGCCTTGAACTCTCTATGTAGCCGTGGGCAGCCTCACACTTGCTGAAATCTTCGTGCTTCAGCCTATCAAATGGAGGGATAACAGGCGTGTGTGTCATCACGCCCACTTTGAAGCCCCTGATTTTAAAACAGGCCTGCAGATTCTCTGATGCTCTTCCCACTGAGCACCGAAGTCCTGTCCTGTCCCCTGACTGATGGGCCAACGAGGTGACTCACTTCTACAGGCTGCAATGTGGCAGTGAGGTTGACTGGTTTCTAAGGTTAAGTTAAAGGCAACGAGGCTTCCGCCCGGCTTCTCTTGGGATGGCTGCTCCGGGAGTCTCACTTCTGGGGACCTAACAGTTGTGGTGGTGGGAAAGCGGGGACAGAGGAGGAGCAAGGGAGAGGTGAAGCACCCGGGATCCAAAAGCAAAACAAATGCAGACGCTGGTGTTGTTTGTTTTGTTTTTGTTTTTTTGAGATAGGGTTTCACCATATATTCCAGGCTGGCCTTGAACTCACTGTAATGACCTAAAATTGTGGTGATCCTCCTGGCTCAGCCTCCCTAATGCTAGGATTACAGGTGTGTGCCACCACACCTGGCCCATTTGTTGTTCTACTTGGGGCTATTCTGTTGCATGGGAGTAAAGGACCAGACCAGAGACAGGCCCCAGTCCCTCTGCCAGTGCGCTGCTCACAATGGGAATGACAAAGGTGCCCACTACACTCGGGAGGGCTGCAGCTACACCTGCCTCACCCACCGCTGTCCCTGCTCCTGACACAGCTCCTGGCTCATCAGAGGTCTTGGTCCTTACCTCCACCATGGTCTGGTTCCCTCTCAGCGCCAGGAGCATGCAGGGGCCCAGCTTGTTTTCCGCCAGGGAGAGCAGGAATTTTTTGGTCTTGTAACAGGAGCCCATGAGGATGTGCACCTGTCGGGCAGAGGGCCCAGTGAACACAGGTGTGGGGCGGAACAGGGTGCGGGGTTGGCCTCCGGAAAGCTGGAGATGTGGGGCAGCCCCACTCCCTGCCCCGGGACAGTGGGGCCTTCGGAGGCCACAGACCCTCCCCAGGATGGGAGCCCCGGCCCCGGATAGAGCTGAGGACATCACGCTGAAATGGGCCCACTGCAAAGGGGTACGTGTGACTCCAGGCACCTGGACAGCCACCTCCCGAGACAGCACACAGCGGCTGTCGGAACTGAAACTGAGTTTCAGTTGGGGTGACGAGAATGTTCTGGAGGTGTTTGCTGGAGACAGATGACCTTGGAACTGTACTGTGAAGTGAAATAAGCAGTCACAGAAGCCTAAATGTCACATGGTTTCCCTAATTCGAGAGATCCAAATGTAAATAAAGAGGGGATTAAAGGAACAGGGAGGAGGATTCTGCAGAGATGAAAGGGGGCCGGGAAGGGGGGAAAATGATCCAGATGTGATGTGTGTATCAAACCCCCAGGCCGAGTGTAATCACTATGTATGGCACACATACACTCATAAAAAAGCATTCTGGGGTGGATGGCAGTGATGGTTACACACGCCTCGGACAGACTTGACGCCACGGAGCTGTATGCTTAAAAATGGTTGGAGTGGTGACTCCCGCGCTGTGTATTTTACCACAGGAAAGGAGCCCCTCCCAGCCCCGTGATGGGGATCTGCTGGCCACCCGTGCTCTGAATCCCCAGCACTGCTGGGGCCACAGGGGACTTTCTGGCAACCCTGTTCGGGGGTGCATAGGTCTGGCTCTCATGTGGAGGAGGAAGGATGTTTCACAGCCCACTTCCGCGAGCTCTGAAGGCATCTTGGGGAGCTCACCCACCTGTGTGGTCTGAGGACCGGCAAAGTCTGCTCCCTCCAGGGCCATGTGTTGGGTGGGGGTGGGGGGTGGGGGGTCCCTGACCAACTGAGCTGGGAAGCCCGCCCAGGTCTCCCCAAGTTCACATGACAGCAAATGCGCTTCTGGGTTGGAAATGGCAGCTGAAGCCAGGGGACCTTGTCCTTGCCGTGGTCTCCATGGAAACCACACATTTCCATCGCAGTGGCTGCCTGCCTGCCTCCCAGCCTCCCTGTGTGTATGCATTTTTCTGCTCCACCATTAACAACTCTGGCATACAAATGAGAGTGCCCAGGCTGGGAGGCTGCCAGCTCCCCAGCGCTCTCACACTGAGGCCCGGCATCCAGGGGTAGGGGGCCACTGTGCACTGCCATGGTGAAGCTACGACATCAGGAGGCCAGAGAGAGGCGTTGGGGAGGGTGAGGGAGGTGGCGCAGGCGGGCAGGGCGGGGCTCACAGGTCGCTCAGGAAGGAGCCTTGTGGGGGCGGGAGGACGGAGAGCGAGTGCGTAAGGAGGAGGACCTAAAAATAAGCCCCTTTCAAGTGGGGGCCCAGAGGCAGCGCCTCACTGTGTTGTCACGGCACAAACATCTCCACCGATGACCCAGCTGCCTGGCAGGGATGAGAATAAGCATCACCCGGAGGGCGCCTGGCATCTCCTGGCACCAGCAAATCACTGTGGCCTCCTTGACGGGCAGCTCTGCTCCCCACCTTACAGGCGACAGAACAGAAGCGCAGAGAGCCAGTGACCGGCCCAAGGCCTGCAAGCCAGTGGGTGGCCAGGCCGCAGTGCGAGCCCAGGTCTGGCCAGTGCCCATCCTTTTTCAGGGCATGTGAGCCTGGGCGCTCGTGCAATCTGTGGATGTGGCCAGTTTTGCAGCAAGTGGAGTAGCTGAGGCCACTGGTCACCAGGCAGAGCGTCTGTCCCGGGGAGGAGGTGCCTGCGACCTTTGGTACAGGAAGAAGGGGGCTCTTCTGGACAGAGCGGGCCTGGCCAAAGAAGAGCTTGCAGAGAAGGCCAGCGTGACCCTGGGCGAGTCACGGAACCTCTCTGGACCTCCATTTCAGGCCAGGTGTGATGACAGGACAGGGCAGCCCCAGTGTGGCCTCTGGCACTGAGAAAGGACCGGAAGTCACCATGGATGTAGTTATGGTTTGGTGACCTCACAACCCTCGGCTGGGTGGGGATGACCACGCTGACCCTGCCACCTCACTGGGGCTAAGTGAGCCAGTGACGTGGCAGTGTCTTCTAGAATCCGGGCTCCGGCTGGTCACTTAGCCCCACCCCATCACCTCCATAAGTGTCCCCACCCCCGAGTTCCTGGCTCAGACAGGAAACGAGCCAATGACAGCTGCGGCCATAGTCACCCCTTCTTTGTGCCCAGCACTGTGTTGGCCTGGACATCGCAGGCAGGTGACAGTGCGCCTGGGGCAGCTGCTCTGCTGGCCAGGAGCCAACCTGCACCCCAGCAGCCCTGCTCCGTGGACGTACCATGCTGGCAAACAGCTCCCCGTCGTCATCACAGGCCACCCCACCGGGGCTGTAGAGCTGGAACCAGCCATCCTTGCCGGCCCGCACGCTCAGCAGGCACGAGTGGACCTGTGGGCAGAGGAGACACAGACTCGGTCACAGCCAGTGACAGAGCAGCCCGGAGTCTGCACCAGGACGTGCTGAAGCCCTGACAAGCCAGTAGCTGGGAAACCTCCCACTGTGCTTCACCCCGTGACTCCTGGCCTTCTACCGAGCTTCGCAGAGACCATGCAGGACACTGGGGTTTCGCTGCCCCGGGGACCTGAGTGGTGTGCCCTGCCTGGGGCTGAGGACCGGGGCACCAAACCCAGCCGCTCTGCCTCAGCCGCCTTTTCCCTATGGCCCTTCTGGGAGGGCTGTTTCTTTTCCTCCTTTTCTCTACACGGCTGGGTCTCGTCTCTGTCTGCCTTGGGGTTCTGCTGCCCCGTCCTGGATCCTCACTCTCAGGCTCTGCCTTTTTCCCTCCCCATTTCCATCTTTGCTTCTGTGGGCCCCACCCCCTCCCTGGTCTCCGTCCTGCTCAGCCCTCCCTGGGACCTCCATTGAGCGTGCGTCCCCCTTTGTCAAGGGGGCTCTGTCCAGGGTCGGGGTGATCTCAGCACCCAAAGCACCAGCCGTGAGTTCCTTCCTAGGACTGTGTATGTCCACTCGTGTGTGCACATGTGGTACATGCACCTGGGAGGAACTCCACACGCACTTGGGCCCGAGGTGATGAAAGAGACGGACACACGCAGGCCTTGTCACGTCCCTCCCTCCGATCCTCAGAAGCCAGCTGAGACAGCCAGCTCCATCAGGTCCTTCAGGAGCAAGGGACGTGGCACAGCAGGAAGCCGGTCACAGCCCATGCGTGAGTGCAGAGGACACAAAGACAGTGAGCTTTTATGTCTTCCTGAGTCTTAACTTTCCCCACTTCACGGAAATGAGAACTCAAGGGTATGAAATGCTACTAAAAAACTATGCCAAAGAATTTAAGGGGAGGCTGAGGCAGGAGGACTGTAAATTTGAGCCCAGCCTAGGTAACTTATTGAAGCCCTACCTTAAAATAAAGGGTGGGGATGTAGTTCAGTGTGAAGGCTAAAAGAAAGAAAGAAAGGAAGAAAAAAACAAGGCACCAGAGGAGAGCCAGTGCCACGGGTGACAGCCTGTCTGGGGGCTCTATGCAGCCCTCAACGCTCCCTAACTGCCGCTCCCTGGGCCTGACCGTGGTGCCTGCTGGGAAATCCCCCCGGTGGCTGGCTCTGCCTCTCCCTCCTGGGAAGCAGCTGCTGTGGCTTTTATTCTCCTAATTTCAAAGTCCGTGTTTGAAATAGAGAGCCCCTCCAGGAGAGTCCTGCAGAGCTGTCTTCACACACAGTAAGGACTGAGTCAGGGAAGCACAGCTGAGGCAGTCGCTGGGACCCTGCCATGCCACGGCTCCTCCCCGGCGATTCTGCTCTCCCCACTGAGCCTGAGGGTTTAGAATCCTGGGGTTTTGGAGCTGATGCTCCTGAAACGGGCTTTGTAGTGCAGCCTGCAGACTGATCAGATCACATAGGTGCTGGTGCAAAACACGGATGGGCTCTAGCCCAGACCCAGAGACCCAGGCTGTGCAGGGGTGAGCGGGGCCTGGGGCCTGGGCACCAGCAAGGCCTTGGGTCTCCGGGACCCTAGATGCTGTCTTAGGCCCCACCTTGCAGCCTGACACTGGCTTTCTCAGTCCCACTTTGTCCTTTCAGCCAAACCCGCCCAGCTCAGCGCCCCCACCAAGCCTCCCTGGTGGCTCTAAAGGGAGCCACTCGCTTCCTCCTTTGGCATCCTTCTCCCTGCTCTGCTAGGCACACGTGTCCAGGCCTGTCCCCATCACATTAGAACCTGTGCACAGGGAGCAGTGGGCCCAGAGCCCCCAGTGAGTGGTGATGCGCATGGGCCCGAAGCCAGCGGCCCGTCCTGAACCACAGAACAGCAGCACTGGGCAGGGCCCCCTGCCAGCACCCCGTAAATCAAGGCCTCTGTGGCATGGAGAAGCCTCCAGCCGGCAGGACTGGACCTCTGAGCTGAGTTCACAGCAACACCGACGTGACTGGCTGCCCACGCACAGCCTTCCACACACATGCACTCTAAACTGCACCGTGAGCTTGGTGACAAGGCAGCCCCGTGAAGAAACCCTCACCAGCCCAGCTGGCCCTGTCAGCTGCCTGTGATGCCAAAAAAAAAAAAAACACTCGCAGGGCCCGGGGTGCAGCATGGGAGAGGCCCTGGGTTCTACGCTGCACACCTCGAAAATAAACACATGCTCACCTCCTGTCGAGGGTCCTCTGCAAACCTCTGAATCACGTACTTCAGCTCCCTGGAAGAGACGAGGCGGGGAGAATCACCCACAGCTGGGGTGGATGTGGGGGGACCGGGATGTGGGGCAGGAGGGGGCTGAGTTACAGAAGGAGCGGGGCAGGCGGGACAGATGGGTCAAAGTGCATCCGCGTTTCCTAGGAAACGCCTGGCCTCCATCAGGGCTTGGCCACGTGTCTCGTGTGTCGCAGGGGAAGGCATGTGGAACCGAGGACAGGCAGGAGGCGAGCTGAGGAGGGGTGACCTCAGGACAGAGGCCGCCTGGGCCAGGAAGTGAGGAGGGCCCGGCCCGGTACTCACTTGGTGAACTTCTCGTGTGCGAGCGCTCTGCACCAGAAACAGAGGAAAGAACAGTCAGTGGGCATGGAGAGCAGCCCCAGGTCCCGAGCATCCTCTAGGACATCCAGACCCCACACGTGACCCGAGGGAAGAGGAGAGGTCGGTCGGGGATGAAAAGCTGACGTTCTGTCCCTGCCTGAAGCTCTAAGCAAAAGCCTCCTTTGGGGAGGGGACGGAGGAATAGGCTGAGCCCCCAAAGCCACTGTCAGGCCCACACCTGTCAGCAGCAGTGATGTGGGGGGCGGGCACGTGGGGGCTCCAGGGACCCAGGTGTGTTTGTCAATTGTTCCACAATTAAGGCACGGCCGTGCTAATTACCACTGCGCATGGGCAGCCAATCGGGGACCATTCTACCAAGCAAACTGCACGTGGGCCACCCGTCAAGTGCGCCCTGGGGCCCTCAGGGAGAGCGGCTGCCGCCAATGACGCCACAGCCCTTCAGAGACCACAGTGGCTCCCAGGAGTCAGATTTCTCCGGTCTCTAGTCCTGAGAGGTCCGTGGGGACTGGCAGGGCCAGCAAATGGGGCCATTACCGGGTGTAATGTCCCCTCAGAGGAGCTGCATTTCATAAACACAGCTCGTTAATGGGCTCCGGAGAGGAGAGCTTGAGAGCCGAGAGCCGCCTCCCGAGGCTGCTGCTTCACAGCCTCACAACAGAGACCTAGAGACGTGGGTGCCCCCATCAGTTCGCTACTGAGAGGGGGTCGGTTTCTGGCCACATTCATGTGGATCGGGAGCTAATCAGAGAGGGTCCAGCATTTCGTGTTATGTGTGCCTTTGATTTTTACTGTCCCCCTTGGAGAGAGAGGAGTGGCAAGTATTACGGCTGTATTCCCAGCTGATGTGTCACAAAAACTGCTACTCTATAGCAGGGCTTGGTGGCGCATGCCTGTGATCCCAGCACTCGGGAGGCTGAGGCAGGAGCATCACTAGGATTTGAAGGCCAGCCTGGGCTGCTTAATGAGTTCAAGACAAGCCTAAACTAGGTAAAAGACCCTGTCTCAAAACAACAACAAAAACTGCTCTCTCGAGTGTACTCTGGGGTGTTCTGAGCTCAGGGAATCTTCCTGAGGAGCAGGGAGGAGGCCTGAGGCCGCTCTTCCCATGGCCCCAGTTTTTAGAGGGCTGGGTCTCACAGAGGTAACTAACCCTGCATCTTTTGGCTGCAGGTCCCCAGCCTCCCAACTGTGCCTCGGTGTCCCTAGACATGAAGCTCTGCCCAGGCTGACCCAGGCTCTGGGCCGGGTGTGGACTTACTCTTTGGGGAATGGGATGGGTTGAAGCAGGCTGGCCAGAGACGGTCTCCAGTCATCGTAGTCCGACCTGGGGGGAGAAAGGACAGCGGTGGGGAGGCGTGGCCAGCCAGGTGGGTGGCAGACAGCGCCTGCTCTGCCGAACCCACTGCAGATTCCAGGAAGCCAGAGGAGCAAGGCTCTTAAGTCCCACTGTGGCCCGGAGGGCAACCAGACGGAACCATCCAGGCTCAGGGACGGCGGCCAGGTCAGCATAGGCCTCATCCTCCCGATCACAGCCTTCTCATCCCCCACAACAGGTTTCACCGTCATTATTCATTCCCACTTTGAAACCCCTGAATTGTGTCCCCTGCCTCCAAATCCACACGCACGCTGAGCGGCCAGCACCTGGAACTTCCAAATGTGAGCCTCTAAAGAGGTCAGTGACAGCAGTATGGTAGATCCTGGTCCAATGTGACCAACATCCTCATGAAAAAGGAAAATTTAAACCGGGTGTGGTAGCACATACCTGTAACCCTAATCCTAGCACTTGGGAGGCTGAGACAGGAGGATCTCCTCAAGCTGGAGGCCAGCTAGGGTACCTAGTGACAGGCACGCGCCACCACCGTGCCTGGTGCTACAGACTGACTCACAGGAGAGAAAAGTCACACGCTGCTTAGCTGAAGTCTGGCTCAATGCTCCTGACTTAGTAGCTACTGTTAGTCCTGCAGTTCTCTTTCTACACTCGACGCTAACAGCAATCTCAAGAGTAACGGTAGTAATGAAAACTAACAGAAGCTCTGATTTTGTCAGCACTTCTGACAGGTGTGGCATCACACAAGAGCTTTAGGCCTTGGCTCATTTGTTCTGCACAAGAGCACGATGACTTAAACAGCATTATTCCCATGCAGGCAGTGAGGAACTTTGAGGGTCAGAGAGGTTAAGTGACTGCTCAAGCTCACACAGCTCCGGCTGCTGAGACCAAGTCCGGTCCAGGCTTCTCTGGCTCAGGCCCTGGGCTCACACCTGGCTTCACAGACTGCAGAGCAAAGCCCGACAGCAGCGTGGGTGAGGAGAGGGGGCTCGCGACAATGGGAGTGGGCCAGACAAAGAGGCTTTTGCACAGCAAACGAGACAGCCAGCCGGGTGGCGACGAGAGAGCTGCCAGAATGGGCCGGCAGCTGCTGCTCAGACAGAGGGGACTACGATCTGGAACGTATGGAGGACTGAAGCAAACCAGACTCCTCTCAAAATGAAAGACCCAGTTAAAAAAATGGGCAGGTGAAATGAACAGACACTTCTCAGAGGAAATGAGCCAATAAATGCACCAAGAAACGTTCAACACTGCTGGCCCTCAGAGAAATGCAAATTGAAACAACGCTTCGATCCATCTTACTCCAGAAAGAAAGGCCACTGTCAAATAACAAACCCTGGACAGGCTGCAGGGGAAGAGGAGCCCTTCTACAACTGCTGATGGGAGTGCGAACTAACACAGCCACTATGGAGAACAGTGTGGAGAGCCCTCACAAAACCAAAAGTAGAAATCCCATTTGACCCAGCAGTTCCCCTCCCAGGTATCTTCCCAAAAAAGTTAAAGACATGATACAGTGATCGCGCATACTCATGTTCAAAATGGCACAATTCATAATAGCTAAGTCTTGGAAATAGCCTATGCATCCACCAACGGACGAATGGATAAGTGTGCTATTTACACACAGCGGAGTACTACTCTGCCAATAAAAGGATACAGTTGAGTCATTTGTAGGAAAATGGATGCACCCTGAGACCATAATGCTTAGTGAAATAAATTAGACATACAAGTTTAAATATCTCATTTTTCTTCTATGAGGAACCCAAAATAAAAATAAAGGCCAAAATAAGAGATCCTGGGAAATACGGAGATACGTGTTTTGCATAAGAGAAGGGCACCAGCAGGTGGAGGGAGAGGGGAAGGGTGATGAAAAGAGCACTGAGAGGTGCTATGTGCAGGCCCCGACTCCACACAAGGAATGGAAACTACGTCCTGCAGACGCGGACTGACGAACAATACAAACTGGAAGGGGATTCAGTGGGACCGGAGCCCGAGCAGAGCGCCCAGCTGGCCTCGTCTGCTTTACTCCACTCACCCTCCCACAGGCCTCCTGCCTGTGATGTCCACAGCTGGCAGAGGCCACGGAGCCGGGAGAGGCCAGGCGTCAGGACCAGGCGGTCACCAGGGCCACCCTGCAGTGCCAGGCTAGTCGGGCACATGCGTGTCCCGCTCAGCTGGCTCTCGGAAGATCCTGTCTGACAGCAGAGGCCACTGCGCACTGTGTGGGGACCTGTGTCACCCCGCGGGGTCAGCTCAGAGACCCCACAGAAACCCCTAGCAGGGGCCAGGGGTGCTGGGCAGCTGGCATTCGATGACCCCGTTTCCCAGATGAGGACCACGGAGGCATGAGAGGCTGTGATTTTCAGGGACACAGTGGACCTGGCTTCACCAGCAGCTGAACAGGCACTGCTGAGGCTCCGCCTCGGGACAGCAGGAGCCGCTAGGAGCTAAGCTGGGTGGGGGGCACCAAGCTGCTGCCTTGGGCCGGGCAGGAGGCTGTCATGAGGCTCTGCCCAGGACCCCAGACCTGCTTCTTGGTCCTACCATCCAGGACTCCTTTGGGTTTAGAATTTGGATGTTCTCAACCTGCTGTCACTGCTGCCCGGCCCCTGAGGCCCCGTGGTCCAGATAACCCTGGGCAGGGCTCTTCCTCGCCTTCCTGGAGGGAGCCAGGAAACGCGGCAGTGGGCAGGGCCCAGAAGCTTCGAGGAACAGCTGAGGCCGGAAGTGGGGAAAGAATTATCAGAGCAACCCGGAGGCCCAAGGTGAGTTGTAACAGCGACACCAGCAACACTGACATCACCCTCTTTCTTCCGCCCACCTATTGTGGACTCATAGGTGTCCAGAACCCTAAGTGTGACCAGGACACGCTCCTCTGTGGCACGCTCTACTGCCCACTCTACAGACCGAGGGGCAGGGGGTTGGCCCCATGCAGCATCTGCTCTCCCAGACAGATGCCCCAGGCCTCGCCCAGAGGGCAGCAGGCGCACAGCTGCGGAGGAGGGCTGCTTCCCTGGGTCACAGACTAGTTGTTCTACTTTTTTAACTTAAATAAAATTTGATTTGTGTAGAAATGTCATTAAATACAGAACTTACAAGGGACTTTAAATCATCCATAATCGGGGTGAGACTTGGAGGAGGTGGAGCCCTTCGAAGTAGGACATGCCCACCTCCAGGGCGGCCCTGCAGCTGGGGTCCCGGCCCCCGGTGGGTGGGACAGGGGCCCCTCTGTGGGTGGGTCTCTTGCTGGCCAGCTCGGCACAGGCCCTGGTGACCAGCGAATTCTGGCCACGAGTGTTTGGAGAGCAGGGCTGCCTGTCTGTCTTAGGAGGGGTGGCCTCTGGCCATGACACTGTCCCCTCTGGCTAAGCCCGATCCACTCTGGGGTTGGGCAGCAGGCAGGGCAGGGAGGCCGGACTGTGCACCAGGAAGGAAGGAAGGGAGGGCCAGGCTTCTGGGGCCAGGGAGCGGGGGGCGGGGGGCAGGGCCTGGGCATCCTGCAGGGCTCCAGTAGGGTCAGGTACCCCAAGCCCAGAGAGAGATGGAGGCAGAGAGAGGCGAAGACACCTGCTGAAGGTCACAGAGCGAATGAGGGGACCCAAATGAGGCCTATGGGCACCAAACCAGGGTCTCTCCCTGCAGCCCACCCAGCTGCAGCCATGGGGAACAAGAGGCTCCTGCCAGCCACAGCCCTCCTCACCATTCACAGACCCACCCAGGCACCAGGAGGATGCCCCAGTCCCAAACGGCCTCGGCCTCGACGTGTGGAGAACTCAGTGCCCAAGGCCCTGGCTCCTGGGCACCTCTACCTGCTGCACTTGCTGCGGGTGCAGAGGCACCATCAGGGCCCACTGGGCTGCAGAGCCCCATGGAACCCCAGTTCCTACTGTTCCATGTGCCCTGGAAATTAGCATTTAAAGCTTCTGAACAGACCCAGCCTCCTGTCTGTCGGTCCATCTATCTACCCACCCACTCCTTGGACTGCTGGGTGCCAGGTGCTGTGGCCAGTGCTTCACTTAATTCTCAAAGCAGCCCTGACAACTAGAACACATGGACAGGGATCTTCCCCTACTGTACAGCTGGGGAAACTGAGGCTCTGAGACACAGCCTTGTTCAAATCCACTCAAACATCAGAGCAGTGGGGATGGAGTCTGTGCTGAGCCAGGTGCCCTCCGGGCCAGGTGTTCAAGCTGGTGGAGTGGGTCCCTGCACCTTGGGGTCCTGGGGGGAGACAGACTGTGGGGTGTGGGGTCTCTTGATCCACCAGACTCCAGGGCAATCAAAGTTCACGGCTGTTGTCCTAGACCCAGGATCTCATCCAGACTCCTGCTCCTCGTCAGCCTCGGAGGACTCAGTTTCCAACCCTCTGCACCCCGCTTTCCTGTGCTGCGGGTGTGTGGCACTGGGGGAGGGGTAGCTCCTCAGGGAGCAGAGTGGGGGCATGTGGTGTTCCCCTCCTGGGCCCCACTCTCCCGGTCCTACTCAGCCTCCCAGTTAGTAGGATACCCCCAAATTGGCTGCATTTCCTGGATGCCCCAATGGGCAGGGGCTTTGTCCAGCTGAGCTGCAGCCCATCAAGGCCTCTGGTAAAATCTGCCCTGTGGGGAAAGGAGCAGCAGATCAGGAAGGACAGGACACAGCTCCCCGTCCTGGCTGCTTAGCTCTTCCAGGCGGAAGTGTGTCTGTCCTGCTGCTGAGGCCCATGCCACCCTGCAGAGCGCTTGTGGGCCCCAGATTCCGTGGGCCGAGGGCGGGGAGCAGTCAGTGGGGAACCTGGCCCAGTGTAAGCACCCGGAGCAAATAAACAGGCAGCCAAGTGCGTGTGGGGTGTGCTCAGGAGCCCTGCACGAGTGCCAGCTCTGCCCTGGCACCTGCCCGGCTGGTCCCCGGCCCGAGTTCCTTCCACTGTACCTGGTCCGGCCCATGCGGGCTGTTTCAGCAGCAGCCTTGACGTGTGTACTCCATCCTTTCCCTTTTCAAAGGTCTCCGGGGAACTTTCAGTTTCTTGGGTAACTTTCTTTTGTTTTTTTGAGACTGCGGTCTTGCTGTGTAGTTCAGGCTGGCTTTGAAGTTACCAAATAGCCTGGGCTGGCCTCTAGCTTGCAGTGATCCTCCTGCCTCAGCCTCCTGAGGGCTAGGATTAAAAGCATGCACCACCACACCCAGCCATTTGGGTATCTTTCAAAGGTGCTGATTTTTTTTTTTTTTTTTTGTACTGGGGATCAAACTCGGGTCCTTTCACTTAAGAGGCAGGCGGCAGAACCACTGAGCTAAATACCCGGCCCTCAAAGGTGCTGATTTCTAATGACACCCGGGTCTTCCTGGGGTAACATAAAAAGCAATGAACTGGGACGGTGGGGCTGGGGATTTAGCTCAGTGGTTCTGCCGCCTGCCTTGACCTGGGACTGTGCCTTTCAGACACTGTCCCCAACCCTCACCAGCTGCAGGGCTGGCTGCACTGTTCTGCACCCCTGGGAACAGCACTGCCCTCTTCTATGGACAGAGGTGGTGCTGCTGGGGTGCTTCCATGGCCCCACATGCCTTACGCCACTGCCTCGACTCTTTACTAAATCATTCTTCTCTTAAACGCTCACTTAGGTGCACTGCAGTACTGACAAGGGTATCCAGAGCCAGAGGGCGGCACTGCGAATCTCCGGCAGTCCCGGTTCCCACCCCTGCCCTCTGTGGAAGGCACCCATTTCACAGACCAGGAAAGCGAGGCCAGGCACAGGAGTGCTGCCTGTGGCTCCACAGCGGGTGAGTCACACGGTCACGGCTCCTCGGGGCTCAGGTGGAAGCTCCTTCCATCCATGAGCACACTGGAGGGCTGGTCCCTCCGCCAGGCACCGTCACTCCTAACTGCCCTCTTCCACAGCAAACGCTGCTGGGATTGTAGGTGATGGTGTCTCCACCGCCCCGGGGGCCACCCTGTGCCGGATGCTCAGGCCACCCCTCCGGTCCTCCTGCCCACACACCCAGCAGCCAGGGGATCCAACCTGCCGCTTGGGGAGCTGAGCCTCAGGGAGACATGTGGGCCGCTCAACGCCACAAGTCAGGTGGCAGGCGGAGGCCCAGAGACTGAGCAGGAAGAGCAGAGCCCTTGTTCACGAGCACATTTATGAGGAAGGAAAGAACTGTGTGTCGATGACGTGATGAAACTCAACGCTTAGCGCTGGATGAGAATAACAAGGGGGCCTGGATGGGGGATGCCTGGGTGCTCTTGGTGTTGACGGGGAGGCTGAGGGCATGGTGGTCCCAGTCTTGCCCAGGGCGAGGAGCCCTCCCCAGGAACCTGGGCAGCAGTGGGACCCCTGCTTCCAGGGCCATCTGGGCCTGCTAGGAGGAGTGGAGCCTTCCCTGCCTAGAGGAGTCAGGGCGGAGACAAGTTCTGCCTGGGATGCTCTCTGGCGAAAAGAGAATCTCCTCCCCTGGGCCATGTCCTCACCTCACCTCTGCTGCCGGACCACAGAGGTTGGCATAGATCCCACCCTTTCCTTTCTGGAACCAACGTGAGGGCAAAGGAGGCTCCTTGGGGATGCCACTTCCACATCCTCCTGTAAGCCACAAGCTGCTCTGGGGCTGAGTGCACACTCGTGTGCCTGCACACATGTGCACGTGGGTGTCATCTTCACAGATCCCCCACCCTTGCTGTACACACAGGGCCATCCTGGGCACCTCCGTGCCCTCCGGCTGACCAGGCTGCAGAGAGCTGGGACCACAACAGAGGATGAGGGAACACGGGGCCTCAGGGAACCCCTGCCCACGCTAGCCACACCCTGGTGCCAGGCTTGGGCCACCCCACTTCGGGAGGGTCCCTGGCTTTAGACAGGCACCTCCATCAGGCACACACAGGACAAGGCTGGCAGCCACACTGCTGTCCTGGAGGTGCAGGTCCAGGGCCGGTGCCCTGAGCACGGGGCAAGGCTCCTTCTGAAAGTAGGGGTGTGAGCCAGGAAGAAGGGCATTGCTGAGGTCTCCAGACCCGAGCTTGTCCCTGGGACCACAGAGCTCAGCGAAGGCTGGCAGTGTGGCAGCCGAGGCCCCAGCAGGGCTCGGGGAACCAGGCGTGTGGGATTGAGACAGGCCAGAGGCAGCTTGGCAAGAGGCCTGCGGGCAGGGTGAGGCCTCGAATTCTACAGTCAGAGAGCTGAGGCCTGGGGGGGCAGGATGGGCCCACGGCACCCAGCTTGGGATGGCACCACCTAAAGCAGGCAGGGCCTCCCTCTCCTCCACGCTGTCCCCACAGCACGCCCTGCACGCAGCTTCCTGGGCCTCAGCAACACCCGTCAGAGCCACCTGCCAGCGTCACCGTTACAGGAGGCTCCTACATGCACACACAACTCTAGTGTGCACCCGCAACCACACGGGTACCCACACAGGGCCACGGACCCCCACCCCCACCTAGATAGGGGACCTGCCGTCCATACACCAATTCACTCAACACACCCTGTGTCACACAACAAGCACGCAGAGCGTGCACAGCTCAGACAAGATGAGCAGCCACACACTGGTTCTCTCTCTCTCTCTCTCTCTCTCACACACACACACACACACACACACACCCCAACTCAGCTCTCGTGTGCAAGCGATCATGCAAACAGCTGCTCATGCACAAAACCAGTTCAAATGCCTAGACACACGCACACCTGTGCTCTTAACGCACACACAGTGGTCAAAACACACATGCCGCCCCCTACAGAAAAATTCACACACGTGCCCACAGCCACCATAGGCACACAGACACACAAAGTCACAGACAAGCTCCGAACAAACCCACTCACACCAGAATGTGCAGAAATTCATGTGCGTCTGACATCGGGGCACATGTATGCGCACACTCACACACAGGTGTGTAAACGTGCACCCTGCACTTGTGCCTAGGCCCCAAGCACACATGCACACACATCTCCACACAGGCATCATCCGCGTGTCTGTGTGCTCACGCATGCACAGGGTGTATGTTCCTAGTCGCCACACACAGCCACTTCACACATCCTCGTGTGTCTTCACACTTGCGCATGGACTCAGCCCCCAGATACGCATCCTGCTCAGCCACACTCATGGTCACACCCAAACCTGCCCACCCTGAGCGAGTCAAAGATGCAGCAAGCACGCTGCCCGAGGACGGGGACGGGACTGAGACGGAGTGAGTCCCCACGCCCAGGCCTGCCCGCCCGTGACGGGGCACTCACAGCAGCTTCAGGATCTCCACGTAGCAGCCGAGTGTGCGGTCGGCCTGGGGGCCCAGCTCGATGCTCATGGTGCTGCAGGCAGGGCTGACCATGAGGCAGTCGATGAGGTTGGGCTCGCTGTCGTTGCCCGTACTGGCCGTCAGTGCTGGCTTGGCAGTGCTGGTGCGCTCCACCTCCACGTGGATCTCGCTGGAGGCCACGACCACCGACTTGAGCCGCGCGTCAGACAGCGTGGCTTCCTGAGACACCAGGTCTGGGCTGGGGTGCAGAAGGCGCAGAGGTAAGGTGGGCTTCCGGTCGCATGGCTGCTGGCAGCCGTTCCGGATCTCCTTCAGGCTCGGGGAGTTGTCACGGCTGGGGGAAGAGGAGACGGAGTGCGTGATTGGGCACGGCGTGGTACACTTGGAGGCACAGGCGCGACCTTCAGAATGGCCCTTAAACCACAGCCTTGGCTTCACGCAGGGGGACCGGGGTGTCTGTCTCCCTCCCCAGTCCTCATGACAACAGGATCTCCACTGTGATCCCTGCTCTGGGAACGAGGACAGGGAGGCTCAGCAGGGTGAGTGCTCGCCCAACATGCCACCAGAGGAAGTGCAGGCTGGAAACCCAGACCCGGGGTCCCTGCAGCAGGGAGGGGCGCTCAGGACACATCTGCAGGATGGGGAGGCAGGTTCGTCTCTGCCCCAGCCACCAGCCTGCCCTCGGCATTCACCTCTGCCTGGCGCCTCCCCTGGCCTCCCCAGGCACCCCTGTGCCCGCTAGACAGTCTGCCTCTGCTTGCTTCCCGCAGTCCAGCTGTCTCCCGACTTCCACACCAGTGTCCCCCGGGGCTGATGTCTGTCCAGCCAGGTGACAGCTCACATCCACTCTCACCAGGGACCCTACCCAACGGCTGTCAAACCCTTGACTCCAGCCTGCGCCCCGCCCCCCAGGAGCACTCCAACCCCGACAGCATCTCCATGACGCCTGCCCGGGTGGCACCAGGTGCTAACTGAGGAAAGGGCTCCGGGACATCACTAGGGTCACATTTGTGTGGAAAATCGTGACATGGGGCCTCTTTCCTGCAGGACTTGTCAGAGCCTTGCCCTGGTCCAAGCCCCCCTCTGTGAGTGGGCCAGTGGGGGGCGGTGCATCCTATTGGGCAGGAGAGACAGCAGTGTTTCCAGGTACACTCTCTGAGCCACCACCTTGGACATCCAGGGGAGGAGACGCTCCCTGGGGCCAAATGACCGGCCTCCAGGCTGGGGCTCATTCATGAGTCTGGGAAGCAGGGATCTGAAACCGGGCCTCTCTGACTGCTCCCCACTAAAGTGTCTTCCCCTGGAGCCCTGTGAAGGTCTCTTCTGCCAGGAAGTCTCCCTTGATTTCTTTTTCCAAACACAGGCACCTGCCTTGCTCTGAACTAATGCATGGGGCTCCACCCATCTGTACCCCAAGTCCACCGAGCTGGGGGTCTCAGGGGTACAGCCTAGTTTCCTCCCGTGTATGGTCAGGCTGAGATCCCCTCACTGCTCCTCGTGACTCTGAGCATTGTGGCATGATAAGAAACAGCTGCCGGTCCGAGACAGTCCCTCATGTGCCACACACGAGAGCCCTAGGCTCCACGTTGGCCTGGGCCTTGCACACGGCAGCTCCTGTGCATAGCAGGGTCTGAATTTATCTTGGTCCTGCCTGGAGCCAGGGCTAAGCAGAGCCCACTGAGGGTGTTTAATAAATATGCTCTGAAACTTGGGGGAGGCGGGACGATGGCCCACTGGCTAACGCCCAAGCATTTTAGGGTTGATGGAAAACTGTGTGTGGTCCGTAGGGGGCCAGGGCGACCTGAATCTCCCTTTGGTTCAAACTTAATTTGTTCTCTGAAAGCTCAACACTCCACTTCCCACTGTTTGCCTTAGCTGGGATTTAGGAGTGGATTCTCAAGGCTGTTTGGCTCCGACTGGTGATTTTCCAGAGAGCCGCGCTAACCTGGGTCAAGCTGCCTGTGCTTTTCTGCCTGAGAGTACATTGTGTGCCCAGTGGGAGCGCCGCGTGGCCCGGAGGACAGCACAGCTCTATCTTGGAGGAACTGACCAATGGGCGTGGGGGATCTGAGTCTGGGAAGCATCTTGGCAGCATCAGGTTTCCTGGGGTGATGTCCTGGAGGAACTAGCAGTAGCATGGGCACCGAGGGGGCTCAGCTGTGCTGGGCTGGGAGTCAGAGCCAGCCTGTGAGGGAGGCGGAGGGCCTGCGTCTTCCTCCCCACGCCTCCACCCTGACACCCGAGGCTGCAGGTGCCGCCTGCGGGTCCCCAAGGTCATGCTCGCCCCACCCACCACCCTCTACCCAGCAGCAGCCCGAGGCATCAGGAACTGAAATTGCAGCTGTCCCTCCCCTACTGCAAACCTGCTGTGAACTTGTAATGTTCTCAGGACAGAAATTCTGCATTGTAACAACACAGCTCTGAACTCAAGGTGTTCACTCCAGCTACATCTTTCACTTCTTTTCTCTCTCTGCTCAAGGCATGCTAATTCCTGCTGTTCTTCCACCTTCAGTGTGCAGCAGAATCAGCTGCAGAGTTTAAGGATGCAGATTCCCAGGGCCTTGTCCTGGGAACCTGGATTCTAAAGCAGCAGTCCAGGTGATTCTGAAGCAGGTGGTCAAGACCCTCACTTGGAGGGGGCCGGGGATTTAGCTCAGTGGCACCACGCCTGCCTTACAAGTGCAAGATCCTGAGTTCGATCCTAGTACCAAAAACAAACAAAAAAAACAAAACAAAAAAGACCCTCACTTGGAAAAACACCATGAGTACTGGCAACTCCATTGCTCCCCCCTAGGCCTTCACAGGCACTGTTCTCTCCACGTAGACCACCCTCTTCCTGACTCTCACCTTGCTAACATCAGGTGGTGTCAGCTTAAATGTCCCCTCCCTTAAGGACCTTTCAGCAGTGGTTATTTTTGAGTGTCAACTTGACTGGTTTGGGAAACACCCAGGAAAACACTAAAGCACGCTTCTGGGCGTGTCTGTGAGATGTTTCCAGAGATGACTGGTATGTGGGACAGCAAACTAGGGGAGGAGACCCACCCTGGATATGGGAGCACCATCCAATAGGGTGGGCCTGAGGGACACAACTGGAAGGTGGAGGATGTCCACCAGCATGTCATCCCCTCTTCCTGTCTACAGCTCTGCTCTACCACATGGTCCCCACCCTGATGTCCCGTCTCACCACAGGGCCAGAAGAAAAGGAGCCAAGGATGAGGGACTAAACCTCTGAAACTCTGAGCCAAAGTAAATGTTTCCTCCTTTAAAATGCCAATGTCAGGTATTTAATCACAGCCGAGAAGCTGGTGAATACACCTTCCTCACCTCCCACTAGAGCAGGAGTTCTTGACTCTGGTCATAGGAGTCCAAACAAACAAACAAACAAACAGGGCTAGGCCGGGGATTTAGCTCAGTGGTTTCGCTGCCTGCTGCGCAAGCGCAAGGACCCGAGTTCGATCCCCAGTACCAAAAAAACCCAAACCCCCCCCAAAACCCCAAAACAAACAGGGCTAGGGATTTAGCTCAGTGGCACCATGCCTGCCTCGAAAGCACAAGGTCCTGAGTTCAATCTCCTGTACCAAAACAAAAAACAAAACAAAACAAAAATCAAAGGAAGGATTGAAAAGTGCCAGGGCCACCCAATTAAATCAGAGTGGCAGTGCAGGAGGCCCAGGCATCCTTCTCCTTACTAGAGAGAGCCATTGCTCGCAGAATGAGGCCAGATTTCAGACCACAAAGTCCTGTGCTCCCACCGTGAGGTGCAGCAAACCTTTCGGCCAGCCCTGGTGTCTACAAACTTATGTATTACACACACACACTCCACACTTGTGCATGCTCACATACACACACGCACACCCTGCCCAGCTGGTGGGAAGCCTTCAGCTGCAACACGCGTTCTGAAAGCCCAGGCGCCACGCAGCCACTGGTGCTGACTCAGTGTCTGCTTTGTCCTCAGCATCCCTGGCAGCAGCTACTCCACCTCCCCGGCCCAGCCACTGACTTTGACACGACCCCACAATGGGGTGCGGCACGTCCCCACACAGGCTCTCCCGGCAGTGGGAGCGACTGACCTGTTGATGAACTCTTCGTAGCAGGAGTAGATGGCAGCCAGGCACACGGCCACCAGGTTGGGCAGGACCCGGGGGTGGGGGCAGTGCCCCGTGGGGCCGTGCATGCTGGAAAAGAGCAGAGGGCAGGTGAGAGGCTGCATATGGAGGGCACGTGGGCACCTCGGCACTCAGGCCACCCCTCCCGGGCTTTGCTCCTGGCTGCCCCAGTGTGGGCGGCAGAGGGTCCGGCTGCAACCAGATTGCAGATCCGTGGTAGCTGCTTGGAGCCCAGGTGAGCAGCCCAGCAAGCTCCTGATGGCACCCCAGTGTCGCAGGCCTCGACATGAGGAAGTAGTGTGCTGTTCAGTGGTGACACTGAGAATTGAGTGCTCCGATTCCTGAGAAACCTCAGCACATGGTGGCTGGGGCGCCACAGGGTTCTGGAGTAATTTTTCATGACACTGCTTTCTTAGGGTCATCTTAGCACAGGGTCCAGAGCAGTCACCGAGTCCTCAAGGTCCCAGCTACCTTCACTTGCCAAGGCTGTCTCTGCTGCCATTTCCTGTCCGGAGAATGGGCTGCTCTGGGCCTGGTGAGGACACCCGAAAACTTTCTGGGAAACTCATTGCAGCTGCTGTCACTTAGGTCTAGCCTGACAAAAGGATGCAAGCCAACCCCAGGGGTCCTGAAGTCACCAGAGACATGGAAATGCGTCCTGAGTGGGAGGTGGGTTTCTTTTCAGGAATCCACAGAACTGAGATGACTAGGATTTTCTTAGGAAACGAGAAGAGTTAACAACAAGGACTGAACCTGTGCTCCGCTCCTGCACTGTGCTTAGCACCTCACCCATTCTCCAAGTAACCAGATGGGGTGGGGACCAGCAACCTCATTTTATAGACGGGGAAACTGAGCCACAGACCAAAAATTGAAAAATAAAAAAGCAGAGCAAACGAGCCCCAAACACCGGAAGCCAGAAAGAACAACAGTATTTGGCTGGCTCTTGGCAAAGCTTGGGGGTCTGAGGCTGGAGCCCTAGATGCTGACCCTTAGGGCCACCAGCTGGACTCCTTCCCGGAACTCAGCAACTACAGCACAGGGGAGGGGCCGGGGTGATGCTGACATTACTCAGGACTGGCACCATTTCTGGAGTCCCAGTGGACAGCACACACTGAGGTAGGCTTCCTCCTGCAGCATCCCATCGGGCTGCAGCTCCCTCCCCGAATCCCAGGAAGCAGGTTCAGAGAGGTACAGCAACTGGCTCAAGGCCACAGAGCAAGCAAGCGGCTTGGCCCAGACCCCACATGGTGGGAGGAGCCAGTGGGGTGCATAGAGGGGACACGGGGCCTCGCTGGGTGTCACAGAGCAGGCGGCTCCCTGGTGGACAGGTGCATGGGGACCATGGACACGGAGACCCACCTCTGAATGAATTTCTTCACCACCTCCATGCCAGCGTTGAGCTCATTCAAGGCGAGGATATACTCCTGAGTGAACAGCCTCAGCCGTGGGCACTTCCCGAAGTCCTGTGGGAGAGGGCAGGACTGGGACGCAGAGCAGGGCACCCCTCCTCCCAGCCCTGACCCCTGGGGGCCAGGCGGTGTCAGCCACACGCTCGGGCTTCTTCCTGGCACCACCCCAGGGCCCTGTGGGACCCCAGCCCAGCTCCCCGTGTCCTCAAACTGCCGTGCTTGGTGAGGAGATGCCTGCCCTTCCTTCTGAGTGACAGGTGGGAACGTGGCCCCCAAGCCAGGGCCCTCCTGGGGGGAAGGGGCATGCCTGGTGCAGCCTCCTGGGGCCATCCCCTGACTAGGTAGCCCCAGCTGCCCCTGGCTCCAGGACCAAACTCTGGGAACACCTGTGACTGTGTGCTTTAGGCTGGAGAGAAAAAGCCACCCTCAAAAGTCACACGAGCCAGGCATGGTGGTGCATGCCCACCACTCGGGAAGCTGAGGCAGGAGGAGCTCAAGTTTGAGGCCAGCTTGGGCTACATAGTAAGACCCTGTCTCAAAAAATAAAACAAAAAGGTGCATGAGACGCAACAGGCAGGCAGACAAGATTAGGAAAGGATGGACAAAGGTGAGTGTATGTGAGAAGCGTGGAAGGAGGTGTGTAAGATGCTGTGAAGGAGACCTGAGTGTGATGACGCGGCCTGCGGAGGGCACACGAGGGTGCGGAGGCCAAGGTGGCCGCTGTGACAGCGCCATCTGCAGGTGGGAGGAGGTGCTGCAGCGCGGGGAGGACCACGTGAGTCCACAGCCCGGGGAAGCTTCACCCAGCAGCCAGCCCAGGACAAGGGAGCCTCTTCTCCAGCCGACAGACTAACTGGAGGCTGACACCACCCATCAGCAGGCCGGGGGGGGGCGGCTGCTGGGGAGCTAACTGGGAGAAACAGAGCGTCCAGGAAGAAGGGTAGCACGGCTGTCCCACTCCCACGGTCAGGCTGTCAGGGCATGGCTCGCTCCGAGACGGCAGAGGGGTGCTTGGTGTCTCCAGCTCATCCTTCCTCTCCTTAGGGAAATCCACTGATACAGCAGCCCGAGGGCTGGGGTGCAGCTCAGTGGTGGGGTGCTTGCCTAACCCAGGCCAGGCCCTGAGCTTGATTCCCAGCACTACCAAAAAAAAAGCAACTCCAAGCTGAGTGTGGTGACACACACCGGGAACCCCAGCACTCTGGGAGGCTGAGGCAGGAGGATCACAAGTTTAAGCCCAGCTGTACAGCACCCCCACACCAGGACCCCTGAAGGCTACAGGGACTCAGCCTGAGGCCAGGCCACAGCTGTCCACTCTGGGTTCACCCCGGAGCTGCCTGATTTCTGGCTGATTCATGTGGACAACATTCCAGGCTGTAAAGCTCACTGAGCTCCAGAGAGAAGCTGCATCTGAGCCCTGGGAGCTGTCGGGGTGCTGTGTCCCTTTGATGTCAGAGGTTCTCCCAGAGCCTCAGGAGTGTGCAGGAGTGGGGTCACCTGCGCAGGAGCCACCCTGGCCCGTGCACCTGTGCATGCAGCTGTCTCTGGTGAGTTACAGCCCCGCTTTGCAGGAGGAGCCTCAGAACATTTGCTCTGGCCTTTCAAAGGGCTCGACTCTCCCCGCCCCACACCCTTGGGGACCTCAGAGTTGTTAGGCAGAGGCCTTTTCCTCCCTTGTCCTCCCACCCCTGAGGGAGGTTTCCCCCGTGGAGAAAGCACTACCTAGGGCATTCTTGTCTCACACGAAGAAAACAAATGAGTTTATCCCAAATCCGAGAGGATCTCAGAAATAAGCAATAATTCAATTACAGCTTGTGATCGCTCAGGGTAGAGAATGGTAAAGAGCACTCATTCCAGGACCAGGACGATTCACTGAGTGGACACTGCCTGCCCAGAATGCTGCCCGGGGAAGGAGAAGCTGTCTCTAAATCGGAAGGAAGACTGCAGGCATCGATTAATGATGTCTGCCACGGATGCAGGAGGGAAGGGCTGCAAGCTACGTGCGAAGAGGGCTGAAGGGCCTGGCCTCGGGTGTCTGTTCCAGCTGCTCCTCAGACCCTGGTTCCCTGCCAGCCTTTCTGGGCCCTGGGTTCCTCCCGGGTGTACGATGTCACAGGGCTAATGACATCACACACTCCCCGAGCTCTGCATTCTGCCTGGCTCCAAGAAAGTGCACAGTGAGCACCTGAGTGGAGGCTGGCTGCTCCTACTCACAGCTGGGCCCCGGGACCAGGTGGCAGACCCTGATGATTAAGTTTCCCCACATGTAGTATGCAGAAAATAATATTTGCCGCTGTCACTGGGAAGATGGGATGAAATCTAAGGGCCACACAGGTGACAGTGCCACTGAATTCTCCGTTTGTATCTATAAAAACAAACTAGCGCCATCCTTCATGAGCTCTCAGTCGTGTCCCCTCGTGCTCATGCCCCTTCTGTCTGGGGACACCACTGCACCCCCACCTTGGGCTGTGTCCATTTCTCACTTTCCTTGCTTTCCATGACTGGGATGGTTCTGGGGCGTTTTGTAGACTGTCCCTCAACTTTGCTAACCGTGAGCCTGGGCCCATGGGCTATGAGGGGGACCCCAGGGTAAGCGCTGTTTTCACACTCATGTCGAGGGCCCACTCTGTGAACACGATGCATCACTGTTGGCATCGGCTTTGATCACCCAGCTGGGGTCAGGTCTGCCAAGTTTCTCCACCAGGAAGATATTTTTTTTTCTACTTCTGGGATTGAACCCAGGGCCTTTGGACTGAGCTACATGTTCAGCCTTTTAATGCTCTTCTCCCTCCCACGCTGTGGCCCTGTACACAGCCCACCCAAGGACATGGAGGCCAAGCACGCTGCTGGAAACCTGTCTTTTCCTCTGGCCACAGCATTTCTGTATTCTCACTACGGTGAAAGCATCCTTCCTATTGCTTTAATGGAAAAACGACAGCCAAGGAGGCGCAGGCTGCACAAAGCCCCAGCTCCTCATTCAGAATCCACTGGGCCAACCCCGCTCCCAAACCTGCGGGAAACCAAAAGGCTGGGGCGGCTCAAGAGGCCAGCATCAGACACTCACCATGTTATGCTTGAGGATTCTCTGCACCACGGGTGTGAACACCTCGATGACCACCATGGACCGGGGCCGCTCTCTGCAGTGCTGCGGGCAGAGGGGCTCGGTCAGCGTGGGCGGCAGCATCCTGTCAGCAGCCAGCCACTTCTGGCAGGCCGGGGACCTCGAGCCCCACGGCAAGCCCGCTTCTCTTGCTGAATACGGCTGCAGAGCTTATTTTAAACCAGACTTTGTATTTTAAGAGCAGCTGAAGAAGATGTAGAGGTGTCCCGTGTGCACCCCGTCCCCCTGGCCACACAACCACCCTGCTTGTTTTGGGGATGAACCTGCGCTGGGCGTGACTTCACCCAGGCCCACGGCTGGCCTCAGTTACCTTGGTGATGCGCACACTGCGGGGTCTGGACAAATGACAAGGACGTCTGCACCTCAGGTGCTCCGCCCAAAGCCTTCTGTGCGTCGCCTTCACCCTCCCTCCCCACACCCGGGCCCCACTGATCCCGTGCTGGCTCTGTAATCTCACTTTTGCCAGAATGTCACATCCAGGCCTTGTATCCTTTATGTGAATTGCAAGGGACTCAAGTGCTTCAAGTATTTTTGGCTTTCGGGATGTTTGCACATACACAATAAGTTATCTCGGGGAGGGGGGGACCTCAGTCTAAACCTGAGAACCATTTATGTTCTGTATACTTTTGCCCATAGCCCACAGGTAATTTCCTATTGTATTTTAATGTGTTTATGTTTTCTTTAAAAAGTTTTCTGTTGAATTGTTTTTGTGGTACTGGGGTTGAATTCTGGGTCTCTGCACTGAGCTATATCCTCAACACCCTTTTTATTCTCGATTTTGAAACAGGGTCTTCTTAAGCCACTAAGTTCCCCCGGTTGGGCCCCAACCTGTGATCCTCCTGTCTCAGCCTCCCAGAGTGCTGGCATTAGAGACGTGCACCACCACAGCCAGCAGCCTGTCTGACGGTGACTTGGCAGGTACGCAGTTTCCCACTCATGATGTCTTGTCAGGGCTGGATAGTTTTGGATTTGGGAACATTTCAGATTCGGGGTTAGGAATGCTAAATGGACAACTGGACTTTCATAGCATGCAGCTGTTTTGGTTTGGTTTCTCTCACTTGGTCACGTATTTAAGGTTCCTCCCAATCTTTCCGTGGCCTGACAGCTCATTTCAAGGCTGAGTACAACGCACTGCTTGCAAGTACCATGGTTTCTTCATTCATTCACCTACTGAAGGACATCTTGGTTGCTTTCAAGTTCTGTAAATTATGACTAAAGTTGCTATAAACACCTGTGTGTAGATTTCTATTTAGATATAAGTTGCAAGTCATTTGGGTAAAAACCAAGAAGCATCATAGCTTTCTTTCCTGCCCCCTTCATTTTTTTTTTTTTTTCAGTACCAGGATCGAACTCGGGTCCTTGCGCTTGCAAGGCACGTGGCAGAACCACTGAGCTAAATCCCCGGGCCCCCTGCCCCCTTCACTTTGTTGGAGTAAAAAAAGCAGATGGCAAAAGATCTTTTGTTTGTTTTTTGTTTTGATTTTAAAGGCTAAGACTGTCTCAGAAGACACAGACAAGGAGTCCGCTCTGACACAATTCTTATCTGTTCATGAGACTTGGAGAATTAAGTTTGAGCAAGCCTGACCTAATGGAGCTTGAAAATCAAGCCTAAGAACAGCCATACTGGAAATTCTCTGAACCCTCCGCCATGACTTAAGAATCAGGCAGTGCTGTGCAGGCCTCGGGCTCAGCTGCACTCTCTTCACCAGCATGGCGCTGTTTGGAGTTGCTGCCCACACACGCTTCTAGCCACATGGCCCCTGGAGGTGCTGAGCCTGCAGACCCTGCAGGAGGACGGGGGCCCAGAGAGGGAGACTAGGGCTTTCTGGGGCATCCAGATGTGTAAACTGTCCTCAGATCCTGAGTTCCAGGCTTGGGTGCCGGCCACCAGCTGCCCAGCAGGTCCAGGTTGCCCGCTCGGTCTCCCTCCAGTTCCCCCCTGGGCTGCAACCCAAGGGGAAAACAGCCGGAGGTCCACGGACCACTGGAGCCCCTCAACCCCAGAAGGCAGGAAATGCCAGGCGGGTTTCTCCCACTTCACCCCTTCCCAAACCATGCTACCATGCACCCTAGGTAAGGCTGACTTTGAACAAAGCACCATGGTTTTAGAATAAATGTTTGGAAACCACGAGGTCTGGGAGAAACCCCAGCTGAAGAGGACAGCGTGGGGTGGGCACATCTGGATTAAACCGGGTGGACCATGGGGAGAGGGGACCCGAGGTGACTCTGTGCTACTGGACTCCACCCAGGAGGGTCTAACACAGAATGTTGGGGACACAGCCCCCTTGTGCCCCAAGGAGCCGGATCTGTGTGCACACATGCACATGCTCGGGGGTGCTCTCCCTGCAGACCAGAGGGCACATGCTGTGCACAACTGTGCTAGGAAGGGGAAGGGTGTTCGGGCCCTGACACACACACCCGGGCACTTGGGCGAGCAGGTATGTGTGCCTGGGAAAGTCTTCTGATGGAGCGACGGGCCCGGAGGGGACAGCACAGCTCTGTCTCCCTTTCCAAGCTCCCAGCTCCTGACACTGCAAAGCTTAGCCTGTGATAAGGAAGGGGTGGGGACCCCACACTCTTGTGGTGAGGAGCCGGGGAGGGGAGGGGACGAGGGAAGTGAGTTAGCAGGAGTGAGACAGCGCCGGGCAGCGGCAGACCCAGGCCGGGTGTCTTTCCAAGGACCTCAAATCATTACATACAGTGCAAACTGGTTTGTGCGCCGGCCGGGCTCCCAGGCCACTGGGCTGGACCTGGGGCACGAGGGATGCCCGGTGCTCGTGTGGCTGGGCATGCACCGTGTGAATCCAGGTGCAGGGCTGGCACTGGGGCCCTGGGAGCAGATGCCCTATTGCACAGCCCCTGCAGGCTAACCTGGCGTTTGCTGCCAGCTTCCTCAGTTCAGGGAAAGCCCTGTGGCCGGGACCCCACCGTGGGCCAGCTGGTGCTCGGAGGAGCCTCGGCTAAGAATAACCCAGCCCTGACGTCAAGAGCCCAGAAAATCAGCTCAGGCGGCCTCCTGGGACAGCCGGGAAGTTATTCCAAAGACAGGCCAGACACTCCTCCCAGCCCAGCTGGGACCCTGCTCACTCTCCCAACTGCCTGCAGGCGTAGCCCTGAGAAGAGAGGCCCCGAATGCCCTCTGCCACACCCGGGACCCTGACCCAGGCACACCCACCCCGCAGAGGCAGCGCCGTACCTTGCAAAAGAATTCACAGAGATCTGGCGGTGGATGGTTGTTTTCCAGCAAAGGAGCGATTGCCTGAAAGACAAGGAACAGACACCAGTTGGCGCGATGCGCACAGTGGGGCCGGCGAGTGTGTCTCTAGGAGAGGCAGGGCTGCAGGGCACAGCTGGCCAGTGGCGGGATGGGGCCCAGCATGACCACAGGAGAGAGCGACACACAGTCAAAACAGCCTCCTGCCATCCTGTGGGGAGAAAAAGCCCATTTTCTAACCTAGGCTCCGATAAACAAGCTGATCAGACCCCCCTGGCCCAGAAACAGGGGTTTCATGGCCCACCGGCAGCTGTTCTTGTCCCCTACAGACCCACGGCCCCTAACTAAAAGGCAAATATGACGCTACACATCCTGCTGCTGTGTGTGAGGGACCTGAGCACGCTCAGAGTTCAGTGCCTATGGAGCCCTGGAGTCTCCCCTGCACACACAGACGGCTGACCACTCGGGCTGGTGGCAGGGTCCCGAGTGTAAACCCTGCCTCTGCCACTTCCTGGCGGTGTGGCCATCAGAGCTTCACCTCTCGGGCCCCTCGCTGCCCCTGGAAGTGTGAGCCAGGCCCTTGGTCCCCACTGCGAGGTCCCTCTGTGGTGTCCTATGCACTGCAGGGGACAGACTATGTCACCAGCCTTGACAGCTGCAAGCCAGGGCCCCCCACCCCGGAGTGGCACCCCAAGCTGTCCCGAGACAGGCGAGCTTTCACTAAGGTGGGATGCTGCTCACTGCTCCTGGGCCTGATTTCCTCGAAAGCCTGCTCCGCCTAACTGTACAGTAATGACACTTCTGCTTGCTCTGGGGACCGCGGGGAGAGGAAGTGTCAACAGAGGTCGGTGAGAGCCACCAAGGGTAGATCAGGCACTCAGACTGAGCTCGCTGAGGACAGAGGTGACAGCTTCCAGCAAGTGCCAACCGTCAGGGTGGCCCACACGGCTGGGGACAGGCCCCAGGCTGCCCTGTCCCACAAGGGGGCACTGGCTACAGGTGACACTTGAAAATTATTACTCATTTTTTTGAGACGGGGTCTTGCTATGTAGTCCAGGCTGGCCTCGAACTCATGGTGATCCTCCTGGCTCGGCCTCCCAAGTGCTAGGGTTATAGGCATGAGGCCAGGGACACTTTAAAATTATAACTGACATGACACCACTGATTTGGGATGAAACGAAACCCACCCCCAGGGTCACGCTCCCCCGAGTTCCACCTCACATTCCCCGCACCCCAGGGGCCATCACTGCAATGACGGTGACAGCGGGGACAGGGGCTCAGCGCCCCCAGTGATGCTGGGTGATGGGTGTCAGCATGGCCCTTCCTCAGGGGTGAAGCTGAGGCCAGAGAGATGAAGACTGGGGCCAAGGGCACTGTCGGAAAGGGCAGAGCAGGACCTGAACCGTGCCTGTGACCCCAGGGCCAGCGTCCTTCTGCGTGTGGCCCACACCACCGGGGAACAGCTGTGGAGAGAACTGGCAACGAAGGGCCAAACACTGGCCCAGCAGGCTCGGTGGCCCTGTCCCTGTCCGCAGCTGCCACCCACGAGGACCAGTCCTGCCACCGAGACTGAACTCTGCAAGCAGTCACTGCAGGAAGGACGCAGGCAGGCGTGGTCCCCTTGCATTGGGTCCAGCCAGTCCCTGGACACCAGGCCACTGCCACCACCTCCTCCGACAGGTTGACTTCTGTGGCACTGGAGACTGTACCCAGGGCCTCTGCACTAAGCTGCATCCCAGCCCTTTTAAAATTTTTATCTCGAGACAAGGGCTCACTGAATTGCTAAGCTGCCCAGGCTGGGCCTGAACTTGTGATCCTCCTGCCTCAGCCTCCCAGAGTGCTGGGATGACAGGCGTGTACTTCCACACCTGGCTGCAGGTCTGAGCCACAGGGATGGGGTAGGTGGGATGGGAGGGACCCGTCAAGCGTGACAGTTGTGTGGGCTTGGAATTTTCAGGGCCACTGTTTCCCCTGGGAGGTCCTAAGTGCCTGTGTTTGTTTCCCTTCGTAGATGAAGAGACCAGGGGCCGGGAGGTGACTGGTGCTGCCCTGGTCACAGAGAGGTCAACAGTTTCAAATGCGTAATAAGCAAACCAGCCCATCTTTCTGCAGAATCCTCCTCAAATCCTCCTCCTGGCATTCTGTTCTGTAAGGAGCCCTCCCAGCCTTGGTGTCAGTAAGAACGGAACCGACAGATCCATTTCGTAGGCAACAAAACTGAGGCCTGGCTGGAAAGGACTGGAATAGGCATCTAGAGGGGCTCTGGAAGAACAGGGGAGCTGCCCCAGGCAGGAGCTGGCGCAGGCAGGACCTCTCTGTCCCAAGAGGAAGCTACTGGCCACTCACGAGTGTGGGCCAGGGGTGCATCTGAACCAGCAGTGCCCAGAACAGCTCTGGAAGGACTGCCTGCCCTCGAAAGTCACCAGTGCTGAAGGTGAGGGCCCAGGATACGAGATCCAGGTGTAATCTTTAGCCCTGGGAGGGTCTCCCTGACATACTGTCAGGTGAAGGAGCAGGAGGATGGTGAGTTCGAGGCTAGCCTGGGCTACACAGCGAGACCCCGACTCCAAAAACCAAAGAAACAAACCAACAGGAGCCCCGGGGCAGGGTAACTCATCTTGTATCTCATTGTTCCTGTGCAAAAAGGAAATCCCAGAGCACAACCCATGTGACTGTCCCCACCTGGAAACAGGGACTCTGGGGAGGGTCGGGGACAGGGTGAGCGCTTGTTTTTAACCCCGACACAGATGCAGGCTGAGGCCATGAGTTCCCCACCCATGCGCTCAACCAATCAAATCAAATACCTGGGGAAAACCCTGCTTCCCTGCAGAACACGGAGACCTTTGCTCCTTGCCGTCCCCTAAGCGACACAGCCCGACCACTACAGACACAGTGCCTACACTGCTGGACGCCAGGAGACCTACAGTGCCCAGAGCACTTACAGGTATAAACAGCAGCCTTTCTGTACAGGGACCCGAGCACCTGCTGAGTCTGTTGCCCTCAGGGTCCAGGCTCCCCATGTGCACACAGTGATGACTGGACTTTTATGAAAACAATCGCCCAAGGTCATGGCCAGGTTTGAACTCAGCTCTGAACTGGAACTCGGGTTTAGCATCAAGGCTTTTGGAGGGGCAGTGCTTGAATCTAGCGAGTTGTACCTGCTGGGCAAGTGTTCCACTAAGATATATCCTCGGCTCTTTTTATTTTAATTTGAGACGGAGTCACTAAGATGTCGAGGGTGGGCTTGAACTTGCAATCCTCCTGCCTCAGCCTCCTGAAGAGCTGGGGTAGGGGCATGCGCCGCAGCACCCGGCTAAGCCTACTCTTCACCACCACTGAGCACAGCTGGGTCTGGATGCGGGCCCAGGCTTCGGGGTGATCCCCAGCTGTTGGCCACTGAGGGTCCCCACTGCTCGGGTGCCAGGTCCATGCAACAGAGAGAGCTGCCCAGGTTCTGGTGAGAAACGAGCACAGAGATCGGCGAGCATGGGGTTCCTCGGGTCCACACTGCCTTCCCACGGCCCTGCAGACCGCAGTGCTCAGTGGGACCCTTGGGAGAGGAGGATGGACTCCTTCCCGGCACCACGCTCCTCTGGCTCCTCCTGCTTCTGCTGCCTGTCCGCCTCTCCCCGAGGAGCCTCTAGTGATCTCCCTCCCTGAGCCCTTCATGCCCGGCCTGGCTCCCTCCTCTGGGAAGCCCTTGGTATCCACTCCCGGGCAGAGGAGGCGGAGGGCCTCTCCTCTGTGCCCCCTAATACCCTGGGTCTGGTCTCCATTCTGAGCTGTCCCGCAGGTGCCCCACCCTACACGGCCCGCCCTGCTGAGCTCCCATCCAGGGACAGAGCTGGTGCCCGGCAGGCGCATGCAATCAGAAGTCTGCTGCTCGAACTGACACCAGCCACAGGGGTGGGGTGAGCGGGAGGAGGCCCAGGTGTCTCGGGAATTCAGCAGCCCCTCTCGGAGCACCTGCCATGAGCCAGCGCCTGTGGGGGCAGAGGACGCTGCCCTGTGTCTGCGACTTCCTGCTGTGCACGCGGGCCAGCAAGGCTCCTGGGAGAAGCCCCAGGGGTAGGGGGCTGGGACACTGCTCTTGACAGGCTCCAGCTGCAGGACCACCTGGGCCCCTTTGCCCAGGTTCTCAGTGCATGGAGCCCTATCTCTCACTTCCAGCTCTAGTTTTTTTCTCTCAGATTCCCATTTTCTTATGCTGTATGTGCCAGCAATGCTGAAACATCCAGAACATTGTTACTTCTGTGCCCTTGCATATTTTGTGTCCTCTTTCTAGGATGCCTTTACCCTGTTTTGCCACTTGGCAAACTCCTATTGATCCTTCAAAACCCCATTCCAAAGTCATTGGCTCTGGGAAGCTTTCTGGCTCCTTTCCCAGGGGAGTTTGTGATTCCACTCCGCACTGCATGTCTCTGTGTTGCAGCGATCACAGCTGTCTCCCTGCATCTGTCTCAGGCCTCTGTGAGTTCAAATGCACAGTACAGTGCTTGCACACTGTAGCTACCATTTTGTTTCTTCCTTCTCCCTACTGAGAGTCACATTTCATAGCTTAAGATTCCTGGGGATGATATTCTACCCCACAGGTGCTGACATCACTGTGAATCCCAGAAAATATCATCGCACTTCACACACGGGAGGGGATTAAAGCGGGTTCTGGTTGTGGGTTTAGCAGGAGACACCCGGGCTGAAGGAGGCCGCAGCCCAGGCCCACAAAGGACGAGCACCCGCAGGCCAGCTGGGCCTGAGCCTCGCAGCCCGAGGGGCCTGGCTGGGTGCCAGGGAGGACCTGCCCGGGCCTTGAGGGACTTACCACGATGATGTTCTCATGCTCCTGGGTGGTCAGGTTGGTGTTCTGGGGACAGATGGAGACAGGGGAGAAAAACAAGATTAGGAAAGTTGGGTGTTTGCATTCCAAATGTCCACAGAGTTCAGACTGAACTGTCACTTTCTTTCCTTTTTCCCTAAACAGCACGGGTGATCAAACAGGGTCTTTGCACTGAGCTACATTCCCAATCCTGTAAAAACTTTTCTTATTTTGAGATAGGGTCTGGCTAAGTGGTCTAGGTGGGATTCCAACTTGTGACCCTCCTGCCTCAGCCTCTCAGAGTGCTGGGATTATGGGTGTGTGCCACCATGCCCAGATATTTTTTTTTCTCAGTTCACTAGATGGGATCACCTCCAGGGCAGGGTAGGAAGCAGGGAGTCCAGGGAACTGAGCTCGCATCCATGGCGGACAACCGCTATGACCTTCAAGGGTTCTGGCTCAGTGAGACTCAGCTTCCATCTCCAGAGGCGGGAAACCGGTAACTACCCGGCATCGGGCTGCTGGCTGCTGCGAGAGGACCTGGCCTTGTTAAGAGACACTCCTTAGAAGACAGAAGCAGGTCTGTAACTCACGGGCTAAGAAACTGCCTGTCTGTGAGTCTCAACTCAGTGCCAGGGAGTCTTCTAGATGGATGTGTAATTATTTGAATGGTTCTTAAACTAGGTATACCTAAGGAACCCTGGTATTCCAGATGTTTTTGCTAAATTCAAATTCCTGCACTGACTTACAAAAAAAAAAAGAAAACCCAAACAAGGCTGAATGGATTAAACTTGCTGAAGTTTTAGGGTTTTCGCCCCCTACCCAATCTGAGATCTGTGTTAATACAATTGGTGCTTTTTACTGCCACTCCGTGACTGTGTGACCTGGGAAAAGGAGATACTCAGTAGCCACGAGTTTGCTTTTGTCTGGGGCAAGGCAGGCTCTGGACCGTGGCCAGGGTCTGGGCATCAGGCGTCCCTGGAGGTCCCTGGGACTGGGCGTGACCTGGGGGAGGGCTGATTGCGCTCCTGTGAGCCTGGGAGGACACAGAGCGGCGTTTCTCATATGCTGACACCTTTCTGTCCTCCTGTGGGTGCCAGGGGACCCGGGCAGCCTGTTGACGGCAGATTGTTAAATACTAGTGTTTTTGGCTGGGAAAGGTGAACGGTGGCTCCAGTTTTTCCTCTCGATGCCTCAGGGCACTGGGTCAGAGCCCTGTCAGTTCGTCCCGTGGATTCTGCTTCACAATGAGAGCTTCCTTCTCCTACAACCCTGATGCCTGGCAAGCAACCTACGGCTGCAGCCTCTGGTCTGGTGCTTGAGGACAGTGGTGGGCTGGGGACTTGCACCTCTGTCGTCTGTTCTGGCTCCAGAGCCTTCGTTTCTACTCCTGAGCTGCAGTTCCAGACCACCTGGGGGTGGACCCTGGCTTCAGGCCTCCCTGGCAGGCGTGTACCCTGCTAGGAAGGCTTTGGCGACAACGGATGTGAGTCCCTGTGTCCCTGTCACGGGACAGCCTCTGCATTCCGCAGGGGAAATTTCTCCCCAGCAGGGCCCCTTCCTGCTGTGGACAGCGGAAAGCACTTGCCAGTGGCCCCACAAAGGGGCAGGGGGGATCCTGAGCTAAGTGGCCACTCTGCACACTCAGGAGATGCCCAGGGAGCCGGGGATGCCACTCTGCTTTGCAGGTGGACAGGCAGTTCCTCCTCGGAACTGCTGGGCGCCGCACAAACCCCTGCTTCCTCTGGACCCTGCCGGCTTTGGGTTGCTTTGGCAAGGCTTGAAGCCACTCCAGGAGGCCTCAAAAGTGGCTTTAGGAAAGAGAACTGAGACAGAACCCAGACCCCAGGTTCCAACCACGGGTGTGTGTGGGTTTTTCCAGCTTTCCCCTCTCAACACCTGGCTGAGACACTTACAGATCTGGATCAGAACTGTCTCCCGTGACACTGAGAACAGGACCCCTGTTCAGAAGCCTCCGCTGCCAGGCCTGGCACGTGTCAGGGCCTCTGAGCCTCCACTCTGACACCCTGGGCCTGGTTTACAGCTGAAATCTGGGCACAGAGGTCCTGTGATGTGCCCAGTGACACACCAGGCCCCAGTCTCCTGTCCAGGCGGATGTGACGTCTGTGTGCCAGAGCCGGGGTGGCTTCTGGTCCCACAGGACTGAGTGACGCTGAGTAAGAATGAGCTGGAGGTGCAGTTTCCCCATCTGGACACTTCAGCATCTGCCTGCCAGGGCACTGAGTCTTACGGAATGGACCCTTGATCCGTCTGCCTGGGTGGGGTCTCAGCTCTTGCTAAGACGGGGCAAATCACCCTGACCCCATGCCTGGCACCCAGTAGGGACACGGCACGTGGAAGCTTCTTCCATCTCCTGTCCTTAGATGCTTCTCTCTCCTTCCTGGAACTTGGGGGGGCAGCTGACTTTGACATCCTGGTTTTATAGCCCAAGAAGCAGGACAAGGCCACAGGCATGTCGCTGCCAGGAACATGGTTGGGACAGGAGGAAAGGGACCCTGTTGGAGGCTGGCCAGAGGGCACCTGCTGCCCTGGCCGCTGTCCTGAGCACGGGCCTCATTTGAAGGTGGCACCGTGGCTGGGTGGCCTGGGGGGCTGGGCGATGTGGTCTCCAGATCACGGAGCCAGGCACCCCCGGGGGGACTTCCAGCTGGGCAGGGATTCCCTGTGTGGGCCGAGTGGGTCACCCAGTGTCCCTGGGTGTCTCCTCATCTGTGATGTGAAGGCAGCAGGGCCACCTCCCAGAAGAATGTGAGCAGGGACAGGATGCGCCCAGCTTAGGGGAGGTGAGCTGCCTTCCTCTCTCCAGGGAGAAACCTCAACACAGGCTGGGCACTGGGCTCGGGGCCTGGGACTTGGGATCATGACGGTAATTCATCTCAGAGCTGAGCTGTCCTCTTCTGCACAAGGCCGCCTCCCAGCTAGGACACAACCTATATCCCTGCCTGTGACAGTCACCTGCTGTCTCTGCTTCTCACCCCACTTCCTCCCAGGCCAAAGACCCTCTCCATGCAGCACCGGGGCGGCCTGTGCTGGCTTCTTGCCTGGCCGCATGTGGGAATGACCCAGGCACCGGGGCAGGGAGACGCTCTCCAGGGACAGGGACAGCGGCATCATCCTGGCAACTGTGCCTGATTTAAACCAGGGGTCACCAAGTCCAGTGACCTCCGTGGCCAAGCAGGGAAATAAAGGAGCAGAGTCCTGGCCTGCAGAAAACGCTCAGTCCTGCGCCCAGCAGAACGGAGGGACGGGAAGCTGCATGCTTCCCAAGTGCCCCCCACCCTGGTGCACTCACCCTGACCTGTCACCCGTCCGCTGGCCGCTCCCGACCGGGCCAGGCTCCACCCCACCAAGGCCCATGTCACACGCAGCAGCACAGGGTGCCTGGCACAGCTGGCTGCCGAGGAGGAGCTCTGGCTGGCGCCAGCTGCAGGCCGTAACTGGTTTTGTGATTGTCTTTAGAGAACGCAGACAGGACATTCCGTTTTGCTGTGAAATTTCCTGATTCTTAAAACCCTGAAAGCCCATGTGTAGGCTGCATGGGGTGACCGAGGTAGAAGGGTGACATGGGCCGCCTGTCCCAGCCACCACAGGGCAGGATGGAAGAGGCAGTGTGGGCCTTCACTGGCACCTTGGTCCTGAGTGTGACCTGGGGCCTGAGGGTGGGGACAGCTCCTCCTTCACCTTCCCACAATCCCTGGCCTTCCCGGCCTGGGCCACCCTCTCTGGCTGCTGGGACAGTGGTGTGGGGAACGGCTACTTCCTTCAGAGACAGGGAGATGGAGCCCCTGTGGAGCTCCACCTGCCTGGCAGGTGAAGAAGGGCCAGCCTGGCGGGTCTCACCTCGGAGAGCAGTTTGGAGACGATTTCCAGGGGCGCTTGGTTGATGGAGTCATCCTGCAGTGGGGAGGTCAGGGCCATGTCCACCAGTGTCCGGATCTCTTTCAAGACCACTTCCCAGCGGCTTGGGTTACTCAGGACTTTCTTGTACTTGTAAATCTTTTTCTGGGAGGAAGAGAGAGAGAGACAGGAACACGTCACTGACTTGAAGACCGAGGAGGACAGGGCTGTTGGAGGCTGGGGTGATAAGGCCCTGAGAAGCTGTCAGCCTGGACCCGCACCAGGCCCCAGACACATGAAGGAGCACCTCAGCCAAGGTCCGGGCTGCACCTGAAGACACCGGGCTGCTGACTCCGGAAGAGTCATTTCCCACACTGGTCCCAGGGAACTTTAAGAAGGAACCGGAGAGATTTCCCTTTTACATCCGCCTTCTGCCAGAGCTGCCCTAAGGAGCCGGATGAGCTGGAAGCGCTGCTCCGCAGATGCCACCCTGACAGAGCACGGGATCAGGACCAGGATCCAACCCAGCAGGTGCGGGCTGAGCCCAGATGCCCGGCAACGCCAGGCTCCTCGGCATCCACCCTGTGGCGAGGAAGGCTTCTCACCTGCGCTTGCTGGGTGCAGCTGCCACAGCTGCCACGGCCCGAGTGCGGGGTGGGGGCTGTACCTCGGGTTTGAGCCTGAGCCAGTCCCGCCTGTGTGACGTCATGGAAAGAGGCGGTCGGAGGCCCAGGTCCCAGCCAAGCACTGGCTTCCCTCCGGTCTCGCCGCTCGCCCCCCTGCCCGCCTTGCTGGAGTCTCTCTGGATGAACTCCTTCATTAAGTGCTCTGTTGCTCGGGGAAATGCCTAATTTTAGTGTTCCCGCTCCGGCAGCCAGCTGGGGTAACAGGTCACAACCTCAGAGCCCGAGTCTGCGTGATGGAAGCGCGAAGAAGGATGCTGACTAACCGTCAGCGTCAGAAGCCACCGGGGTGCCCCAAGCCCTCCATTTCAGAGTTAAGAGTCATATGGTGGCTTTAGGACCTGGAGCTAAGAAGGAAGTATTTGGGACACATGTTCCATAGCAAAGTGACCATTAAGAGGCACTTCGGTGAAATAGGAGGTCCACTTTGCTTGTCTAAGTATTTATTTTGGTTTTTCGAGTCTGGGTCTCACTGCGTAACCCAGGTTGGCCTCAGACACTTGGTGATCCTCCTGCCTCAGCCTCCTGAGCGCTGGGAGTAAAGGCATGCACCACCACATTTGGCAAGGAGGTGGACTTTGGACTACTTTCAGTATTTCACCTGCTGGGCCCTGGGTCCCTATTCCATAAAACGAGTCACGAAAATCTCTCTTAGCACCGGAACAGATAATGGACCCTGGGGTCAGCTCCCTGGATGAGTTACACTTGAAGGCTCAGTCCAGGTGGAAGAGGCACCCCAAACACAGAGGACACCCTGGGTCTCAGTCTCTCAGTGGAAAACATCGAGGGCATGAAATGTGTAACCCAGGGCAACACACACCATATCCTGTCTCCTTTCTCCCCATCTTTTAATACCCCAAGGCTTTCTGGGGCCTCTTCCTGGCTAATCATGCCCATCCATCACCAGCAGCATGGCCCACACAGGCTGCACCTTGCGGGCGCAGGTCTTTCTGACAGCTTTGCCTTTTTCCTCCTCCTGTGCCTCCTGCTCGGCCTCACTGACCTTTGCCCTTTGCCCACCATGCTCTGCTAGGAGCCAGGCAGGACCACGGAGCTGGCAGTTTGCATCAGGTGGGGATGGCGAAATGGAGGACCAGACACACAGATTTGTGGATCCAGAAGGACCATCAGAAATGTACAGCGCGTCCCATGGGCGAGTGCTTAGTCTACTAAACATGGTGCAGCGGTGATGACAGCCACAGAGTTTTTGCTGAGCTCCGTTACATGAGGCCCCTGGCCCAGGCAGCCTTCGCTGGAGCCTCAGCCAGTTCTCAGTGACCGTCCCTGAGGCCACTTGCCCAGCCTGGTACACAGGAGCGCTGCATTAGCTGCACCACGGGTCCAGGTGAGACACACGGTGTCCAGGCGAACAATGTGACACCTCCTAGCGCAACCACTGCCCACTCCCGGGAGCCCTGAAGGCTGTGCTGGGTCCGTACCCAGAGAACTGCTGAATCTTTACACCACTGTGGAATCAGCATGGGGATGTCATCCTCTCTCCAGCCCCAAAGAAAACCACCAAAATCCTACCCACGCCTTCCCACAGTGGGTCTAGGCTCGGGAGCAGCCTGAGTGCTCAGTGCCGCTCTGTGGATCAGCTTCAAGTTATTTACTTTGGAGAGAATAATGACTTCATTCTTTTTGTGTGTGTGTGAAGATGATGCATGCTCATAAAAAATTCAAACCATATGGAAGCGCACAAAAGAAGAGGGTTAATTAAAAAGGCCTCAGAAGTCCCACCATCCAGAAACAGCCATCGTGAATATTTGGTGAACACCATTCCCTCCAACCTTCATTTAAACTCTGCAAAACACACCCAGCCCATGGGGCGGGTGGCTGTGAGGGCACTCCCTGTGAGCCACAGACACGCTGGTACAACGCGGCTCCGGCTCGAGACCTGAGCTTGACTGCTTTGGTGGCCCAGACTCGGCGCCCTGGACAGCCCCTCCTTGGAGTGGAGAGGACCGTGGCTTTCTGCGGAAGCCTGAGCCCCTACTTGGGGCAGGCGTCAAGGGCGCGACAAGGGCGAGCATTTGGTGAGTGCACACTGCGTGCCAGGCCCAGTGCAAAGCTGCAACCCTGGGATCTGGAGGCGCAAGCGTAGGTTCAGGGCCCAGAAGCAGACCCTGAGACAAGGGCTATAGATTTGGGAAGTGACTGTAGGAAACGCTGGGGAGAAGGCAGTCAATAAACAGGCACCGTCTAGCACCATGACCCAGGCAGCCGACACGGACACCCTCTGTAGGCCGTGGTGCTCAGTCCTGGGAGCCTTAGAGGCCGGCAGCTCAGCCTCTGGGCTCTTGCCAAGCAGCGGCAGGCAGGGGCATCTGTCCCCCCCTTTCCTCTCCCACACTTCTGGCTGCCCGGGGCCCCGGCCACAGAGGTCCCAGAGCCACAAGTCACTCACGGGGGCAGAGTTGGGGTGTCTGTCCACAGGGACAGGTCTGTGGCCGGCAGGTGATGTGGGGGGGCTGTCAGCATCCTCCGTGGCCCAGGAGGGGAGGTGACTTCCCCAAGGCCGAGTAGCCAGAAGGAGACAAAGCTGAGGCCCTGTGGAGAAGGGGCCGTGGGAGCAGCAGACGATGGCGGCCATGGTGCTGCCGGTTGGAGGTGCGGGTGGGAGAGGCTGCTGTTCCAGACGGGTTCGGCACAGGGCAGCCTGTCCAGGGTGACAGGGCCCAGCCACTCCCCAGGTGACACAGTAGCATGTCTCATCCCGGGAGCACTGATGAGCTCACCAGGCAATGGATGAATCACGATGGGGCAGGAACCAAACCACCTCTGGAATCCTCACTCCCTGAGGCCCAGCCCTTGGCTTGGCACAGGGTCCTCCCACAGAGCCCTCTCTGCCAGGGGGTGGGTGGCCTGCCTAGTGGTTTGCCCAGTGTGGACAGGAGCCTTGGAACTTCCAGTGACTGAACCCATGGCTGGTGTTATGCAGAAGAAAGCTGAATTAAAGTGGGGTGGAACTACAAATGGGGACCAAGCCTGGCCTGGGTTTATATAATGAAACCAGAAATGGTCTTCAGTGTTTTTAAGAGCATTGAAGGAAAAAACAATACAGATTATGCAATGGAAATTGAATGTGGCCCACGAAGCCCCAAATATTTTCTATCCAGCCCTTCATTGACAAAGTTTGCCAAGCCCTGGTTCACAAGGTTAAATCCCAGCCCAGGAAAACATAGGCGAAGACAGTGGACATCATTAGCCACAAGTGAAGTTTGAGTTAAAACCATAAAGAGAAGCCATGCATTTCACACCCACTAGGATGGCTAGAGGCAAAAAAACAAACACCACCAAGTGTTGGCAAGGATGCGAGGAAACGGACACTGGGACTCTGTGCACTGCTGGTGGAAGGAGGTTGGTGGAGCCACGTTAGGAAATAACTCTTGACAGTTTCTTAAAATGTTAATCTTATACCTATCACAGGGCCCAACAGTTCTGTTCTTAGAAATCTGCCCAATAGACAGAAAAACATAGTCCACACAGACATGCACACGCATGTCCACAAAGCGGCTCCAGCTGTCGAATGAATGTATCCACAGATGGGGGGGCGGGGCACAGTCTCCAGGGACAAAAAGCTATGACCTTGTGTGTCCCATTCACGACCAGTGTGCTAAGTGAGAGAAGCCAGCCCAGTACCTGATGCTTTCTACATGAACTGTCTAGAAAAGGCAACTTTACAGAAAGAAAATGGACCAGTCCCTGCCGGTGGCTGAGGAGTGTCCCAGGAATGAAGCGCAAATAAATGCAAAGGCATCTTTCAGGGTGTGAAAATATTCTAAAACAGGATTGTGGTGATGGGTACACAGCTCTATACATTTACTAAAATCATTAAGTTGCATATTTACAATGGGTGAATTTTATGGCATACAAATTATACCTCACATAAGTTATCTTTTAAAAAATGCCACCCCTGGGAGCTAGAGCACATCATACAAATCCAAACTAGAATGCTTTGTGTTTAAGAGTACAGGTCTGGCAATAAGCAGGCTTCAGCCCAATTCTGAGCTCTGCTTCAGCCCAATTCTGAGCTCTAGTTCACCTACCCACCTACCCATCTATTCACCTACCACCCACCCATCAAACAGTCATCCGCTTACCCATCCATCCATCCATCCAGCCCTCCCTCCCTCCCTCCCTCCATACATCCGTTCTCCATCAGTCCATCGATCATACACCCAGCCACCAAACCCATCCATCCACCTATCTATCCACCCATCAAACTATCATCACCCACTCATCCACCATCCACTCCTCTGCCTACCCATCCAGTCATCTATCTATCCATCATACACTCAGCCATTCACAAACCCATCCATCCACTCATCCACCCATCCATCATCCATCCAATCATCCAACAAAGACTACTTGAAACCATCTGCCACCATGTGCCAAGCACTGTGTAAGTATTCAGGACACTCAGGGCAAGCAAAGCAGACAGGCCCTGGTGCTCATGGAACCCACAGTTACTTGCATCTT